TACAAGAGAAATAAAGCTTTGTATTTTCTTATTTCAAATACAGAATTTTTGTTAGATTGAACAGGGTTCAGGTCAGGGAGCAAGGAATAGAAGGGAGATATAACCGACGCGGTTCGCCCTACCATATGATCATGCATGCTTTGCAGACGGGTACTTCATTTGAATAAGAATTATTTGTCTGATGTACATTTACTGCGTATACAATAACCTATTCTGAATATTTCATATACAAATGGAGTACCCGTCTGCAAAGCATGATCATATGGTAGGGCGAACCGCGTCAGTTATATCTCCCTTCTATTCCTTACTCCCTGGTTCAGGTAGTTTCATCTTAGATACATAAACTTTGATTTCAAAAGCTTGCGTGGTTACAATATGAACTTTTTTGTCCAAACATATTTTTCTCAATTAAAGAAACTTCGGGTATCATAGAAATTTGAATACAATGACAGCAGCAATTGCAATGTTTCAGCCTTTACTAGGTGCTGAAAGATAAAAAGACGCATTTTCGTGAGAAGTGGGACTCGGGCAGATTTTATGATATGTTTTGTTATGTAAAATGATCTGAGAGTAGGCTTGAAACCGAGAATAGATGCCGAGTTATAATAATCCATTAAATATTGGTAAAATACTAAACTAAAGAGATGTATCGTATATCAAGAATCAAAATGACTGTGAGACGAGCTAACTATTTATTCCTTTCAGAGGTTCTATCTACACTTCAGCAAAAAGTACGCAAAAAGAATATACTGAATTAGATCTGGAAGTCCTGAAAAATATTGTAAAAATTGTTGTAACCAAAGCTCGAATTGGGTATGGGGGTGGGGNGGGGATTGATAATTCCACTGGTCTAATCCGGAAAAGAATAACTTAGAGCAACTTTTATAACAGAAGTTTGTCTCCAAAGTTAGAATTGAGTCGGAAAATCCAGTGTTGGTATTTGTAATGATTAGATTTTAATAATTCACAATTGCTTTAAGGAAAACATATAGACGTAAATTCCAGTAACCCTTCAATTAACATATACGATTCACACTTAACCTTCGTCTGATTAAATATATCTTAAATTAGATTTTTTTATCAACTCTTTAATAGAGTGACCTACAGTCTACAGATTTGTGTGAGAAAACCCAGGACAGCTTCCTAATTGTTGCTCCAAAAAAGGTTCAAATGGTACCATTGTGAATCTGATATCCCTGTAACTAGAGAGCCATTAGAAATTACCTCTACCGTCCCTTTAAATTTTTTTATACTGTTAAAGCTAAAGCTAAAGATCTATTAGATTTTTGAGATATTGTGTTTGTATATTAGAAAAGTATGAGACTAGGCGGCTCCTGTATCTCCGTAGAATCGTGTTTGTATATTAGAAAAGTATGAGACTAGGCGGCTCCTTGTATCTCCGTAGAATCACGTTTGTATATTATAAAAGAAGACTAGGCGGCTCCTGTATCTCCGTAGAATCGTGTTTGTATATTAGAAAAGTATAAGACTAGTTGGCTCCTGTATCTCCGTATAATCATGTTTGTATATAAGAAAAGTATAAGACTAAGCAGCTCCTGTATCTCTGTATAATAGTGTTTGTATATTAGAAAAGTATAAGACTAGGTGGCTCCTGAATCTCCGTAGAATCGTGTTAGTATATTAGAAAAGTATAAGACTAGGTGGCTCTTGTATCTCCGTAGAATCACGTTTGTATATTATAAAAGAAGACTAGCTGGTTCCTGTATCTCCTTAGAATCGTGTTTGTATATAAGAAAAGTATAAGACTAGGCGGCTCCTGTATCTCCGTAGAATAATGTTTGTATATTAGAAAAGTATAAGACTAGGTTGCTCCTGTATCTCCGTAGAATCATGTTTGTATAATAGAAAAGTATGAGACTAGGTGGATCCTGTATCTCTGTAGAATCGTGTTTGTATATTAGAAAAGAATGAGACTAGATGGCTCCTGTATCTCCGTAGAACCATGTTTGTATATTAGAAAAGTATAAGACTAGGCGGCTCCTGTATCTCCGTAGAACCATGTTTGTATAATAGAAAAATATAAGACTAGGCGGCTCCTGTATCTCCGTAGAACCATGTTTGTATATTGGAAAAGTATAAGACTAGGCGGCTCCTGTATCTCCGTAGAACCATGTTTGTATAATAGAAAAGTATAAGACTAGGCGGCTCCTATATCTGGTTTGAGAGGTCTGGTTGTTGCTTCTCAGTTGTGCGGAGTCTACAACCCAGAGTAGAGAGGACAAACAGTTCTTCATCCAGTCTCGTTATACATCCTAGAGATTTTTATAAACCAGTTCATCTACTAAACTTACAGTGCATGATTGTAATCCCTGATTTCATCGCTTATGATTCTATTTTGCTACTATAAGCAAGGTTTCAAGCTTCCAGTAAAAATGTAAACATAAACTAGAATTATTAAATTTTATTAAATTTTTACTTTATTCTGCTCTCATGTTCTCTCTGCAAATAGAATAGAAATATAACCAGTATTTTATATTGCAGAAATAAAGTTCTAATAATCTGGTTCATTAAACAAGAAAATGTACAATTGATATATTTTCAAATGTTTTAACGTCAAGTTAGAAATTCCTTCTTAAAAATTTATGACATTAAGGCAAAAATCTTTATAATTTAATTAATTTATTTCTAAAACGTGGTTTAAAGGGACTGTCAACGGTATTTTAACCTGACCCCGAAATTCAGGAGTTACATGTCCGATCCTCAACAGTACCATTTAATACCTTTATCTGAATAATACGCATGTAATGATGCAACTCTTTATAAGTAAGGTCTCGTTAAGCATTTTTAGAATAGAATTAGAATTGGAAGAATTAGAGACTACTTAGGCCTATCTAGCTAGTAATGATCAGATACTACACTGTAAAAACCCATGGCGCTTTTGACAGTAAACCCAAGTTTTTGGTAAGCGTATTTAATGGGATTTAAAATATCTATCCATTTATTACAATCATTAATTGATTAAAATAACAGATAGGACACTATATGTCGTCTTTTCAAGATCATTTAAGTATTTTGGTCACACTAAACCTGAGGTAATTCTACTGAAATTTGGTTGCGTTCCTGAGTCTACAAAAATTGTGTTTTACATGTATTATAAGTAAGTAAACAAGAACTGATAAATGACGATAAAGAAGGAAAGTAAATACACAGAACCCCAATTGTTAAAAATTAAAGTACCTTCAACTTTTTTCTCACCAAACATTCATAATTTTTAGGAAGCTTTACTTTTGAACTTTTTATTGTTTCTTTTACAATTCGTGGTTTAATGGATACAAACAAATAAACAAATAAGATAAGTTTTGACAGAATGTTTTTTATTATATAGATTAAAAAGTAGGATAGTAAAAAAAGGATAAAAAAGGAGTATATATGTCTATATATAATAGTTAACTGTAATATCCGCTGACAAGAGAAACTCAATATTCCTGTGTTTTGCAACTAAACCGATAAACTTAAAGTAAAGTCACAACTTTTACGAGTTAAGGATCAACAAGAGACAGATATTTTCAATCACTAAAATGTTCAAAACTTCTTATTGGTATATTTTATCTGTATTCAAAACAGAGGTTTTGTTTACTGCACATACAATATACATATTTTCCAATAATACAGCGTCCATCTTAAATAATTAAATTAGCTTGTGTATTAAGTGTAAATCCCTCCCCTCACTATAATCACATCCCTTCTCTTACACACCCCTCGGCCGGCCTCGCATCTAACTACAAACAATTTCAAAACTCCTATGTGTAGCAAAAAAGTTAAAAACTTGCTTGTTTATAATTAAACTTTTCAACATAAAACGATCCAGCAGCCACACTTTTATTTTATCAGGTTAATCAACTATTTTAGGTCTCAAGGAATAAAAAACTTTTCAACCTTGAGACATTTATATTTTTATATTAAACATTTATTTCCTGCACTAAACCTTAGTTCTCTGCTCTTTTTCATGATTACTAAGTTTGTTTTGTAAGTTTATGATTATTAGTTTATTGTTGGTTTATTGGTTTATGTTTTATCTGCAGGCAGCAGGTTGTTTTATTAGCAGAACTCATTTATCAGACGCATACTTGGGGTTTATCTAGACTTTTCCGCTTATTTAGCACATTTACAGTTTTAAAATCATCTTGACTAAGGCTGGATAAAATTGCGCCGGCCCGGCCTCTAGTTATGCAAATGGAGCTGTACTGCACCGAATTCTACTTGTACCGTCTTGTACTGTACCGAATTCTACTTGTACCGTTTTCAACTGTCCTAGGATTCTTGGTGTGGGTCTAAATCTAAAGGGATAAAAAATATATTTTAATGAGAAAAAAACACTTTTCTTTATGAATTCAAATTTTTTAGTTATTACATTACTATTTGTGAATAAAACTTCCCCCCGTTCCACGTCACAATAAACCTTACTTATTAACCAGGCAGCCACAAATTAGTTAACCACTGGTATTATAACATTTTGTATTGATTCGAGCAAACATAAACTTTTCTAACTTTTCTCTTTCATTGATTATTTAATTTAGACTAAACACCTCTAAGCAATTGAATATATATTTTAATTAAATGTCTTAAACTAATCTTCCGCCTTGTTAGATTCTTAGATTTAAGCATAAATAATTCAGACCATTGTCAATCTAAATCTTCGAATTTTCAAACTAAAGTTAGAATATTTTACATTTTACGCAATAAAATAATTATCATTTTGAAAACTAGAAACCTCGAAATAAAACCAGCCTCTGATGTCAACAAAAAGAGAGTAAAAACCTGATATTTTCATCACTATAATAATATTCACAACTACTTTACAGGGAAGTTAAGGAAATTTTATTTTTACCAAGGTTTCCGACGTATTTTGCCTAGAAAACAGGCAGAGCTTGGCTTCATTATCCCAAGGGACAATTATAGAACTTAACATCCCGCTGCAGTAGTGAAAGAGAGGAAATAACATATCGGTAATGTTGGGAAAAAGGAGGTTTAAAAATATAAAATGATTGATTTTAAAGATATTAAAATGAAGATGTGAGAGGTTTGACAGTATGTATAGAATAATCTCTATATTGGCTGTGATAATTAGCAAAATAAGTTGTCTCTACTGCTACAAAAATGATCTTTATAAAACATACAGGTAAAAATTAATTTGATAATTTCAAAAAAATATCTTTTTTAGAGTTGAACTATGTGTTTGGGGGATTTTAATACGGATTTAGGGAAATTGAGGTGGACAAGAAGAGATGGTGAGAAAGTTGGAGAAAAGAAGTTTGAAGGTTGATGGGGAAGAATAACAGAAATGGGTTTGGAAAGATCAAGATGAAAAAACATTCTTTTCTTACAGGTTGGAGAAGTTATGCAGAGGAGATGGAGGAAAGGTCGGAATTGTTATAAATGATGTCGTGTCGGCATTCTTCCTTAACTCTTCTTTAGTTCCAGGTAGACATAGAGAACTCTTCTCTAGTTCCAGGTAGACATAGAGAACTCATCTCTAGTTCCAGGTACACATAGAGAAATCTTCTCTAGTTCCAGGTAGACATAGAGAACTCTTCTCTAGTTCCAGGTAGACATAGAGAAATATTCTCTAGTTCCAGGTACACATAGCGAACTCTTCTCTAGTTCCAGGTACACATAGAGAACTCTTCTCTAGTTCCAGGTAGACATCGAGAACTCTTCTCTAGTTCCAGGTACACACAGAGAACTCTTCTCTAGTTCCAGGTAGACATAGAGAACTCTTCTCTAGTTCCAGGAAGACATAGAGAACTCTTCTCTAGTTCCAGTTAGACATAGAGAAATCTTCTATAGTTTCAGGTAGACATAGAGAACTCTTCTCTAGTTCCAGGTAGATATAGAGAACTCTTCTCCAGTTCCAGGTACACATAGAGAACTCTTCTCTAGTTCCAGTTAGACATAGAGAAATTTTCTCTTGTTTCAGGTAGACATAGAGAGCTCTTCTCTAGTTCCAGGTAGATTAGAGAACTCTTCTCTAGTTCCAGGTACACATAGAGAACTCTTCTCTAGTTCCAGGTAGACATAGAGAACTCTTCTCTAGTTCCAGGTACACATAGAGAAATCTTCTCTAGTTCCAGGTAGACATAGAGAACTCTTCTCTAGTTCCAGGTACACATAGAGAACTCTTCTCTAGTTCCAGGTAGACATAGAGAACTCAACCCTAAATCAAGGTAGACATAGTGAGCTTATCTATAGTTACAGGTACACATAGAAAACTCTTCTCTAGTTCCAGGTAGACATAGAGAACTCTTCTCTAGTTCCAGGTTGACATAGACAACTCTTCTCTAGTTCCAGGTAGACATAGACAACTCTTCTCTAGTTCCAGGTATACATAGAGAATTCTTATATTTTTCCAGGTAGACATATATATATATATATATATAGACACAAATAACTTAAATCTTGTTCCGATAACACACAGTTAGAACTCAAATTTAGATCCAGGTAGACATAAAACTGTTCCAAGATTTAGAATTATTCATTTTATTTAAGTTCCTGTATAAATTATTCTATGCATTTCTAGATTTCGTTTCAGAACTATAAAAAGTAACAAGGTGTTAATTTGATTTGAATATTCTAAGTTTAAATAAAATTCTTTTTCATGCGAAAAATGTTTTAATCATTTAAAAATGTTTTTAAATTTCATTATATTCTCATTCAAGGATTTAATTCATCTTTTAATTAAATTGAAAATTGTTTTATCTTTGAATATATTCATATATCAAAGGAGAACTCGGACTGTAAAACCGTTTTAAAAAGGGGAACCCAACTAAACGTGTTCTCTAATTTTTTCATTGACAAAATGAAAAAGAGATATCTTGCATTGCTTAGAAAACATTGTATCTTGACATTTTATCTTTAGATTGTGTTCATTCTATCAAAATAATTTTTTAAAACTATTTTGTATTTTAAAGTTACAGTATTTACATTGTACATGTGCATAAAGTTTTTTCCTTCAAATGTCTTTCTCAAATGTCTCAATATGAAATGTCTCAGTTATAGAAGTATCTTTACTTTAAATCAAACCTCTGATTCCTTTCTTTAGCAACCTTTTTTCCAATTTCTTAAATTCTGTCCTTGATGAAGTATTGTTTTAATATCCTTCAGAAAATGTCATTCTATCAAAGTATTACACAAGTCTACAAATCCTTCCTATAAACAGACCTTTTATATCCTTTTTTTATTCTCAGGTTCTAGTTCATTCTCTTTATTTATTGTGAAAAAAAATTTGATAGTCTATTCTCGGGGTCAAATACATTTAGAAAGTAAAGTACTAACTTGCAGGTATTGCGTGAATATGAAGAATGAATATTTTATTCTTCATCTAAGTTTATTCATTTTCCTTTCAGCAGTTCTCAAGCCTATACTAAACTTTAAACGATAAAATTGGATTATTTGAACAATATATATATTCTTTTTCATCATAATATCATTAGTTTTGTTATACAAAACACCATAAATACAGACTAAATAGATATAGGATCTTCATAAAATATATGGTGGAAAACATACACCAGTATTAATTGCATTATGTTAATATTCATAAAAAAAATTTTATATGTATAGTGCAAACTGGTAATGTTTACAAATTATTGTTGAAAAATACAAGAAACAATTAATTATCGAATCTATTAAATATCGAAGCCTTAATAGGGTTTTAAAAGTTTCTCTGAAAAAGTCCCGCAAAATCTCCATTAAAAAAATGGGCATTCATGATTCACAACGGTACCCTTTAAACCTGTATCATATCAGCAACGTGAAAGATTTATATTTCTACCTTAACTATTTATCTAGAGAACACGACAATTTAAGATTCTAAGAGAAAACCCCGGATAGCTCATTAATTCTTGATCAAAAAAAAGCTTTTAATGGCACCATATTGTGACACTGCCACTAAAAACTGAAAAATTACTTGAAGTTATGCCTACAGTCATTTTAAAACAACTTTTTGAAATGACTTGATTTAGTCGATTAATTTTTTTTCTAGGTGAAACATTTAACTGTCATGTGGAGATGGTGGTTCGATCAGCAAACACAGGAATAAACATCATCGTTAAATTCAACAAAAAATATAACCCCCCCCCCCCTCCACTTTCCTTTGTGCAGACAAGAAGGAAGATTTAATCTATAAAAGACTGAGAAGATATCAATAATATCTGACACTTAAATATCCATTAATTTTGGGAATCTGTCAACTTAAACTTTTCTTTAAAATTCAAATCAATCTTTGCAACAAAAATGAAACTATTTTCTAACCTATCAATTGCTTGATTAACATAGTAAAATCCAACAGTTTTCTTAAAACAAATCAAGGTACTAATGCCAGGAAAGTTAATTGCAGTCGCGTATACTGTGCGCGTACATATTGAAACCAGTTCTCTCTGCGCAAAATTTGTAAATAAGAATAGATGCATCCAAGAAATATATAGACCAGGAACCACCATATCTTATGCGTCAAATCTGTGTACTGCATTGAAAGGAGATCAAAACAAAGAATTTAGGGGCAACGCATCATTTTTGAGTGAAAAGGGCGCAAGGGGTGGAATAAAAATATATTGCTATTGAAGTTTCAATATTGACCAGAGAGCCAAAATCATATGTATTCGCTCTTACTTGATATATTAACTTGATTTTTGTTGGACTGTAATATCACATCAGAGCTGTAGTCCTTTCCCTTCAACTTCTGTGGAGGCACTGGGTTTGTTTACATTCCTCCCACAGTTTACAGTACATAATATGCGTATATCCATGAGTTGGGCGTTCCTGTATATAGTTCCTTGGATGCATCAGTGTTCGTTTAGTATCCGAGAAGGTTAAAAGAATTAAATTTTGATGATTTTGAAAATTCGCATAATTCGCATAGTTTCCTATGACCAGAATATTTCATAGATTATTTTTGTGAAAATGGATTCCATGTCAGGCTGTGACATCCGTCTTGTGTTTACTTTTCCGTCCAAAGACAGTACACTGCAGTACAAAAAATGCGTACACCTCTGAAATAACTTTCCTTGAAACAAATTAAACAGTTTTTGGGAAATGTTTTCAGGACGTGAAATTCTACGTAATAAAAGAACCAAAAGTTCACAAGCAATACTTGCTTTAGCTTCGACATTTAAAATATTTTCAGCTCTTTTATTTTTCTTCTGTCTCACTTTTATTATCTAACCTATATATTTTTATTTGCATTCATGTTTATTTATTGCGAGATTTTAGAATGATACGAATGGCTTATTTTTGTCATTTTTAAATCAATTTAAAGTTTTGACGAATGTCTGAAATATTTGTTTGTTTTCACATTTTTTCAATGCAAAAAAAAACGTTTAGAAAATAAAAATGAAGAATATTGAAACAACGATGACCCTGATTTTTTAAAGGATTTTTTGTCTACTTTGAAGAAATGAATCTCTCCGAATCTACATTATCAGGGTGTAATGAGGTAAGAAAAAAAGAATAATTTTCTACAACTCTCCTCTCCCTGACATGTACTCTCTCACCAACCTATAACCCCCCAAACCTTCGACCTATACCGCACCCGAACTATTGCCTAATATAAACCTTAGGATGGATATAAATGATCTTCTGTGCCATGAAGATTAATTGTTCAAAATAAATAGTTTTTTTCCCCTCTCCACCACTTACATTAGTGGATTAAAGGTAGAATATGTAAGTAGAAAAGTCTGAAACCAAATTTGAAGCATTAAATGACATTAAAATATAACTTCTGAAAGGTTTGTGCTTAGCGGAGAGGGAACATTTTTTCGTTTAAAACGAGCTTCGAACCGTCCATCAAGAAGTTACCCGTTTCTTTTATTGAAAAGTTCTGGGTTCCTGGTTTAAAAAGTATTTTATCATTTTGGAGCTCATAACTTTTGTATTGTAACATTTGAGTAAACAAAATCCAATGGCAAATTGCAGAAATACGGGCTGTTTTTTACGAATTTATCAACACTTTAATTTAAAAAGTTTCCAGTATAGGTATTGCGTTTAGTGCTACCTCATTTAAAAGTTCAGATCTCAGGTCAAATTATAATTTAGTAAAGTTGCAGAAGTATAATCTAGGCAACATATTTTACAAGAGAAAAGATTAATACTGTAAGCTGAGAGGATTTATATTTCTCTTCTTTATAAATATAAATGTTTATATTTATTCTCTTTGTGTTGTGTCACAAGGTCTGTAAAAACTATTGTAAAACTATTCATTTATCAAACTTTTACTTTTATAGTATTGGGAGATTAGATTATTTAATTTTAACATTTATGTAAAATCTACTCTGTTCATCATTAATAAAAAAAGAAAAAAAAAACATTATAAAACTCGAAGAAAAAAAGTTAATTTTAGCATATTTTAAGGTAGGCCCCGAAAGTCTTGTTTGATTTGTGAAAAATTGTTGAACTTTGGTATAAAAAATAGAAACAAGAATAGTCGCAAAGTCGTAACGTAAACTGTACAGGGTTATCAACAGAGTTATTTAGGTCCCCGCTTGTGTGTTCGGTCATTGCACAGTCAACTCCGGCTTTTTTCAAGAACCAGGCCGACTTTTAGGCAGCTATAGAGCTAACACATACAGACTATGAAAGGCAAAACGAGAACCCCTTGACCAATTTTTGGGTAACTCGTTAGAAACACGGGAGCGTTTTCAGCATTGTTGGAATTTTTCTTCAGATTTCCAAGCAAAGCTGGGTTCCAAGGCTAGTTGTATATATCTCTGTCATATTTTCGTAAACATATATTGTATATATTTCAGGATTTTGTCCAGTTTGGCCGAGATATCCTGTTCGTGACGTCACATCTCAGTAAAAAGTACTGTGGACGGATGGAGAAAGGTATTGGAGACGAAAACCTCGAACAAATTGTACTATAAAATTCCTTTTGGCTGGAAAATGATAATGACTGAAATTTAATAAAATTTATTAAAAAGTATACATATTATGCTCTAACAATCTTACAATCACGTTTTCATCTACAATATCAAGCGGAATGATGGGCTTACTAATTATAAATGACGCCAAAGCTTTTGAAATTTGCTACATCAACTAAAAATAATAACATTCTTAGCTTCATTGTGAGGAATAAGTACGTTACTGTGAACTGAAATATGCACATTCTGAAAATATTCAACATTTAAGTAATACTAAAAGTAAAATTAAAGGCCCAAGGAGACAACTCAAAATAAATTGTTGATAAATGATTTCTACATTTGTCAAATCGCTATTAAAATATGTGTATTAAAGTATTTACAGATAGGGCAGGATTCGGCGTAATTGAGATATTTTTCAACTTTTCAGCTCACAATTATAAAATTTACATTTACCATCAATATCAAGTATTTGATGGATCTGGTTTTCTGAATTCTTAATGATTCAAAATTCTAAATTCATATTAATTATATAAAAACAATATTTATAGATATAATTTTTTCGTTCTAATTTTAATCATTGCCGTTTTTTTACATTCGCAATAACTGATTTGCCGTTTTCTGTAAACATTGCATATTTTAAATCTTTCATTTTGAAAGATTGACAATCTAACAACTAAAATCTGAAACAGGGATTTAAAAGTCAGAAGAGATAAATCATAATAAAATTGTTTTTATTCTACAAAAAGTTTTTTTGCTGAACCAGATTTTTTTTATTGTTATTGTACATTACAGTGTTCAACATTTGAATTTAAAGTTTAGTGTGTATTGGTGGTGACCATATTTAATATCTAATATTTATTTAGTGTCACTGTCCCACTGTGATAAGAACCGAACTGAGCCAACTCCAACCCTCAAACTCGGAGAAAGGAAAACAGACATACAAGCATTATAATTTATTTTTAAAAATAACGTTATTTTGTCCAAAAATATATATTGAAAAAATTCCAAGTTAAAAGCAAGGGTCTTTATTTTTACATTTTATATTTAACATCTAATATTTAAGTTATTGTAATTTAATGTTTAATAAGTTATCTAAATACTCCAAGAAAAAATAATAATCTAACCCAAAATTGGCTTTATGGTTGGTTTAAAATGATATTATTCTGTTTGAGTAGAATCTATTCTGAAGAGAGAGACCGAGAAATGGATATTTGGATTAGGTATAATTTTAGTTTTTATATCAGCAGCCTAGATACATTAAACCAGATAGCTCACGTCATCTTCACCATACCAGATAGCTCATGTCGTCTTGACCATACCAGATAGCTCATGTCGTCTTCACCATACCAGATAGCTCATGTCGTCTTCACCATACCGGAGTGTTTCAGCTGAAATATAACTGATGTAATTCCGTAACTAACATTCTTGTTACATCTACTTTTCCTGTTACAGATTGAGTGTTCCCGCAGTAACAGTAACCTCGAAAACAGTAACCTTAGGTAGCATAATTATTAAAAGTGCCACAAAAAAAGATAATTCGTTTTCTGGAGCTCTTTTAAAAAGTCCTAAATTCGGGGCCAATTCTAAAGGGGATCTTTCTAAATTTTGGATGTTATTCAGAGACAAAGGAAAATTGCGAAACGTCGCCAAGCATGTGAAATTTTTAATAATAAATACTTTTTTTAGTGGTGACACCGTTCAAGAAAGCTTGCAGTGCAAATGATTTGCAGTACAGGTAACATTCTTACATAGAATTGTACATGTTTAACCCCTGTGTCAAAGTTGCATGATCCGTGCCGGTACAACACATACGCACTGTATATTAAGTCCGGCGTACTGTACAGTCAGACTACCCAGTGTAGAGTAGCTTGGCAAGAGCACTTGGGTATTTATGTATTTAAATAACTTCACATACTATGTACATGTATGTACAGTTATGTTTTTTCACGTTTAAAGGGACTGTTAACGTAATATTATCTGACTCTTCATTAATAAAGGGGCATGTCCGATTCATAAAAGTACCATTGTCTGATTCAAAAGAATGAAGTTATTCCTGTTTTTCCTCCTCAAAATTTATTATTTTCAAGTGCGGGTTTGTTTGCAATATACACTTGCGGATTTATACGGTAAGAAATAAGGAAGGAAAAAAAAAAACCGACGATAGTTTCCTCATTATTAATACGTTGAAGGGTTAAATGATACTTTTGTGAATCGGGAATTAAACACTTGAAATAACCTCGACAGTCCCTTCAGTGGGTTTATCTTATCAAATTATTAATTATTTCAAACTACATTCTATTGAATCAACTAATTACAAGTTTTAAATACCAAAGGTTTACACCATCAGGTTGCAAAAATATAAAGATTAGAAAATATAGTTTGTGTTGTGTTCGATTTCTTTGCCCATCAGTTTTTCCACTTTTTATCATTTAAGAGTTGTTGAAATTATGTGATAAAACCCAGATCTGTTTACGCTCTGGAAAATTATGTAATAAAACCCAGATCTGTTTACGCTCTGGAAAATTATGTAATAAAACCCAGATCTGTTTACGCTCTGGAAAATTATGTAATAAAACCCAGATCTGTTTACGCTCTGGAAAATTATGTAATAAAACCCAGATCTGTTTACGCTCTGGAAAATTATGTAATAAAACCCAGATCTGTTTACGCTCTGGAAAATCAATCTTAGCTGACTGGTTTACTTTGTATAATATTTTAGAGAAAGTACATTGTACATTATGTGATAAAACCCAGATCTGTTTACGCTCTGGAAAATTAATCTTAGCTGACTGGTTTACTTTGTATAATATTTTAGAGAAAGTACATTGTAAGCATATAATATTGTACTTTTTCATGTTGCAATGTTTCCAAATGTTTGCAGGAAATGCGGGAACAGTCCCCGGTGTATCAGAAAAGAACTGTTCTGTGATGGACAAATTAACTGCGCTGTTACGGATAATAGTCCGGAAGGTAAATATTCAGTTTTAGAAAAATAAAAAGTATTCCTGTCGCGCAAAATATTTCTATTAAAAATTCCAAACTGTAAAGGGGGGAAAACAATATATTTAAAAAGTAGTTAAAAATGTGGGTCAGGGCCTTTATATAAAGGTTTAATATACTTAATTATAAGCTTAATCACAAAAACATGAAATGAGAAAAGTTTTACACAGATAATCTCCATCTCTTTTACAAGTTTAAGGTTATCTTATACTAATATTACAAAATATCACAAAATATTATAAAAAATATTAAACTGAATGAACACTGTAAAATGTTCAACAAAAAAATTCTTTTCTCAAAATGTTCGTCATCTTTTAAAGGTTTTGGGTTATTCGATATTTATAACAAAATATTAGATTTAACTGACAAATTGATTTTAATATAATTTTAAGCTGAAGCTTCCAATTTAGAACTTCTCTCAAGGATCTAGTTTTGATAAGATGAATTTAATAGGGCAGAAAACTCAGCCAATTAAAAACGAAATATTTACAACTAACTTTTATTTCGATCCATGGAGCGACTTATCTCGTATTGTTAACATTTATCCAATTATGATATTTGATTTCATTTATAATATTTCAGTCAATTATAAAATTATTCGATTATTTTCTAGTTAGTGAAAAAGACTTGAACTGCCTTTTTTTCGATAACAAGAATGACATACAACAAACCCGACCAGAGATCGTCCTTGACTGTACAAATTATCTTCTTATCCTAAGAATCAAACATCCAGAGCGGTTTAACAATTATCCTCAAATTGCTTCATTAGGACGAACTATATTCATACAAGAAACCTGCTCAGGGCAATAGAATCTTAGTCGGGATGATTTTCGTCTTCAATAAGAAAGGATTTTATTTTTATAACTTTTATAAATGATACATTAATACAGAGCACATTTTTTTATAACTTTTAAAAATGATACATTAATACAGAGCACATTTTTTCAACAATACCATTAATGGTATTTTTTACAAAAAGAAAAAGCCAATGTGACAATTATTCCTGTGTTGTTTGTTAAACAACGTAAATTTCTAACTTAAAATACATAAAGGAATTGTAAAGTTGTTAAATGTTAAGATGAGAGGAACTGTAGTTGGATGGGTAGAGGTATAGAGGAACCAAAAACTTGGAAATCCCAAGTTCCTTTTCTAGAAGGTAACAAATATTTGTCATTCGTGTTTAATTTTGTTATTTGTCTTGTCTCGTTGTTGGTCTGATTGTATTCCAACGTGAAACGATCCCAGGTTTGTTACCGGTCAGGATCCCAGGTCAGGGTTTATGACCGGGCAGGATCCCAGGTCTGATTTATGACTGATTAGGATTCAAGGTCTAGTTTATGACCGGTCATGATCGCAGGTCTGGTTTATGACTGATCAGGATTCCAGGTCTGGTTCATGACCGGTCAGGATTCCAGGTATGGTTTATGACCAGTCCGGATCTTAGGTATGGTTTGTGACCGGTCAGGATCTCAGGTATGATTTATGTCCGGGTAAGGATCCTAGGTTATTGTTTATGACCGGTCAGGGTCCCAGGTCTGGTTTATGACCTGTCAGGATCCCAGGTCCGGTTTATGATTGGTCAGGATCCCAGGTATTGTTTATGACTGGTTAGGATCCCAGGTATGGTTTATAACCAGTCAGGATCCCAGGTCTGCTTTATGACAGGTTAGGATCCCTGGTCCGGTTTATGATTGGTCAGGATCCCAGATATGGTTTATGACCTTCAGAATTACAGGTATGGTTTATGACCTGTCAGGATTCCAGGTCTGGTTTATGACCGGTCAGGATCCCTGGTCCGGTTTTTGACCTGTAAGGATCCCAGGTCTGGTTTATGATTGTTCAGGATCCCAGGTATTGTGTATGACCGGTTAGGATCCCTGGTCCGGTTTATGATTGGTCAGGATCCCAGTTATAGTTTAGGACCTGGTTAGAATCCCAGGTATGGTTTATGACCGGTCAGGATCGCAGATATGGTTTATGACCTTCAGAATTACAGGTATGGTTTATGACCTGTCAGGATCTCAGGTCTGGTTTATGACCTGTCAGGATCCCAGGTATGATTTATGACCTGTTAGGATCCCAGGTATGGTTTATGACCTTTCAGGATTTCGAGTATGGTTTATGACCTGTCAGGATCCCAGGTCTGGTTTATGACCTGTCAGGACCCCAGGTATGGTTTATGACCTGTCAGGACCCCAGGTATGGTTTATGACCTTTCAGGACCCCATTATGGTTTATGACCTGTCAGGATCCCAGGTATGGTTCAAAAATGGAATTCAATGAAATTTTTAGATTACAGGAGCAATGTAATAAAGTACAATACAAAGCAAATTGAAAAAATGCAACGTTAAAAAGTAAAATTTAGTAGCTTAACATAGCAATATAATAATTTATTTTACTTAAATAGCAATATAATAATTTATTTTACTTACCTTAGCAATATAATAATTTATTTTACTTAACTTAGCAATATAATAATTTATTTTACTTAACTTAGCAATAAAATAATTTAATTAACTTTTAATTTTTTAGGATTTTTGTTTCTACTTGTAATACTTCTCATAGTTCTAATCTACATTGGGGTTAGAGTATTCAGGTAAAATATTTATAATATTTGTAAATATTTAAAATGTTTACCAAATATTAGTTTATTAAAAATATCTATTTATTTGCTAGGAGGAGAAAACTGAATAAAGGGGAATATCCTGCAGTAAGGGAGCAAAGGGACCTAATACAGTTCAACTCAGACCAGTATAGGGTAAACTTTTTATAGGAGTCAAGGTTCAGATCTAGGTTCAAAGGAATTGAGTCTTTGCCACAAACTCTGATTTTTTAATTCCTGTGTCTTTGCAACCCAATGTCGAAGACCTAAAATATTTCCAACTATGAATTCTGTTAGATTAAATAATCTAAATTTGATATATTACAGAATTACATTATCAGTTTCCAAAGATTAAATTTGTGGCAAAGACTCAATTTCTTTAGCCAAAGTCACGATCAAAATTAAGGTCAACGTGAAGGTCAGTATAAAGTATTTATAATCCCCTTACCCCTGGATAAAATCTTAGAACTGGATTATATGAAAAGATAAAACTGCAGATAATAGAAAAGTTCAAAGTACACACTTCAATTAAACTTTAAACTTCAAATTGCAATCAAAGAACAATCAAAGAAAAATGTTAAAGCAAATGCAAAAGACAAATGAAAGATCAAAAAGTAAAGAAGATAAGGACAGAATTTAATCAATTTTAGTAACGACACTGAACTTACCTACTGCCGGTTCAAATTTCAACCACCGAATTAAGGTTAAAGATTCAGGAAGGATTTTAATAGCTGAACCGGCGGTAGGGGGTTGAGCTACCCCGCAAATTTATTAAAGTCGGACCCAGTAGAGTTAAATTTAATTGAATCAAGGGTAAAGATCCTTAAATCTTTGTTTCAGGAGTGTGATACCGTAGTTCCTGTTAGTGCCCCCTCGTGTCCTCCCCTCCCCCTCCCCCCTCCATACTCACAGATAGATTCCAGTACAGTCATACAGTACAGCTATGCTAACAGATAAATTAGCTATTCTAACAGATAAATCACCTAAGCTAACAGATGATTCGGCTATACTAACAGAGAAATCTTCTACACTATCAGTTTAATCAGCTACGCTAACAGATGATTCAGACATGTGAACAGATGATTCGGCTAAACTAACAAATAAATCAGCGCTACTCTAACAGATGATTAAGTTACGCTCATATAAATCATCTACGCTAAAAGATGATTCAGCTACACTAACCGATAAATCAGCTACACTAAAAGATGATTCAGCTACACTTACAGATAAATCAGCTACACTAACAAACAGATGATTCAGTTACACTAACAGATAATCATACGACGCTAACAGATGATTCAACTACACTAACAGATAAATCAGCTACACTAACAGATGATTCAGCTACACTAACAGATGATTCAAGTTCACTAACTAATAGTTCAGCTGGTTAAACGAACATTAAAGTTTACACCACCTACCCTGCTTCAAAGGAAATACCGCCAAACTTATTGAAAAAATTGATATTTTTATCATCTTTCTCTGAAAATTGTTTGAAAATATAAAAAGGTTAAAACGGTAAAATTACTTTACAACATGTTGTTAATAATCCATTAAATGTGCTTCCTGAGTTAACCTAGCGTATTATATCAAACTTTGTAAACTAATGATTTAATCAATTATGAAAAATACCACTAAAATTATTGTTTTATGATTATGATTCTAGCTGCAGGAACAATTTTAAATCCTTTCTCAATTTCATCTATAATAAAAATTAATTGCTAAGAATGCCATGAAATAATGAAAACCCCCATAAAATGTGCTGTATCATTCAATTAATAATTAATACTTTGAAAAAAAAACCTAAATTAAAATTGTTTTATACTGTAGACTAGTTGTTAACCTTCTAGACTGGTGAAAATATGTAACAAAATATAAATACAAACAAATGCACTTTAGCTGGAATAATAACTTAAAAAATATTTACATTGTGAAGAATAAATAATATGGAAAATAGAATACAAATACTATTTAATGTGTTTTTTCTTAATTTTTACAATAATTTTTTAGGAACTGCAGATAGGATTGCTAGGAAATAATTTCTAGGAATGCAGTAAGCAAAAGTAACAAAAGTAATAAATATTGATTTACAATTGTAAATATTAAAACAGTAACATTCATAATAAAACAAACTCATGGGGGGGGGGGAATATAAAATCCAATATTGTTTTAAGAACGTAGTTCATGTAGATGGGATTTAGCATTTATTTTCCAGCAAATGTGTTTCTAGCAATGATATCTGGAATCCAAGGACTTTTCAATAAGACTTTTACAATTTACAACTATACTTTAAAAATTTTTAAACACAATTTATTTGAAAACGTTTTTGGTCTTCTGTCCTGTATATGAACTCCTTGATTCTATTTATTCTGCTACATTGTACAGACTGTTTTAGAGAAAAGATTAAAATTTTACAACAAAATTGTAGATACATTAGCATACATATCACAATAATTTTAACATCGTGAAAAATAATCTGCAATTAAACTAAAAGCAAAAAATTAAATCAAATTTAAAATCAAAACATTAAGCTCTAATTTTTGTTGTCTAATTACAAATCTTCAAAGCCAATGGGCATACCTTGGCAAAAAATATTGTTAACCTTTTTAAAATTTTTTTTATTTTATTTTAAAAGTTTAAGTTTTGAAATATGAAAATGTATGCTATACGATGTGTGTCCAGTCTACATAATTTCGTATAAATGTAAATAACTATTAAAATGTAAAAAAGTAGTTTGCCCTTTTCCCTTTAACTAATCTTATATGCTACTTGGCCTTTTGATGTTCCAAAATTTGCCCAAGATTTACAAGATTAATTTAAAAATTTCTACACACTTGAATCTGCAATGTTTTATGTGATTAAACTCTAAAAAAGCTTAAACAGTTTCTGAACAATATCTACAGGACTTTTAGAATTCAACATTCAAGTAACTCAGCAAGGTAATGGTTTTATAGGCAAATTTTAATTATTTACAACTTCTTTACAGGGAAAATTAAGAAAATTTTATTTTACCAAGTGTTGCCGAGACCAATTTTGTCTACAAAACATCCAGAGCGTAGCAATCATGGGCCCGTAATGTTGGTTAAACTGCGATAAAAGTTCATCCTCCAGTGATAAACCAAAAATCTTTTTCGTGTTTCGATTGAAAGTCGTACCATGCCAAACTATCTTGTTGTGGGATAAAATAAACCTGAACAATGTTGAATTCAAAAAGTAAATATTATAGATATCATCAATGGTATGGATCGTTTTTATTCCAATGTTGATGTTGTTTTGATGACAACCTTCTCTCTTAAACGTTTATGTTAAAAGATGTGTAAATATTATTTATTGAAAATATTGTTTTGTAAAGATGAAAACCTGTTAAACTTGAAATATATTGACCCTATTGTTTTAAACATGTATTAATTTTTATATCTGTATTTGTATTATTCAAAGATTCTAGAATTTTCTAACGCTTCGCGTCACGTACACGGTGAATTGTTTAATTGCAACAATCTAAGATTTCGTAGTTTTTCTCTGTTTTCATTTGTGGTCTCAAAACCCGTAATTTTTTAAGTTACCATTGCCTAATTTTTATTCATATATATATTTAAAAAAGAAACCGGAAAAGCCAAATAAATATATTTAGGTATATACTATATAGATACTGTTAATAAGCTCTAAAGCCCCCCCATGCCAATGTTGACTAAATTATCATTACCGAAAAAAACCTAACCTATTTTCTATTATGTTTGCATTTGACCATAACAGAATTTATTTCATGTTGTTAAAAAAAAATTTTTAATTTTAAACATATTATTTGTAATATTAACTTTGTATTTCTTGGAACTATTAATTGATATTTTTTTAAAACTTTCTCCCAATTGTGTTAAACCTGTGAGGTCAGAAATATTCATGTGATCTCTATTCTTTATTTATGTATTGCATGAAACACTGCAAACGTTTTATCTACTCCCATCTTTCATAAATTTTATTTTACATGTTTTATTATTCTACAAAAATGAAGAAAAACTATTTTTTACATGTCGTGGAAATATTGGATATTTGCATATATATTACATAAAATTCAAAAAAGGAACCCAGAATTTAATCTATTGTCAGGTGAATTTATTTCTAACCATTTACAAATTTATATTAAGGATAATCGATTTTTGACTATTTTTAAAATTTTTGACTATCTATGATTTTTGTGCCTAAAGAACTATAAGCTTTTGCCGAATTTCAGGCTCAAAAGTGAATTATTTAACATACAATTTTAGAAAAACCTGTTTCCGATTGACGATTTCAACTTGCGAAAACTTTTCACTATATTGTTTTAATTTCCCAAACTAATTCTTTGCACATAAATATTGAGCATCCCTAATATATGTCATATGAATTATTTACGACACTCTGAAAAGTTTCCCATTTTTGGGTTGGAAGTGAAAACTTATGTTAGCTGTCATCAATAAAATTGATTTGTTATAAAGTAACATCTATATTTTCTACTCGTAAAGTCAAATATTTGGAGGAAAGTGGGTACAACATGGTAAAAACCGTTACAAGTTACGTAAAGGCAAAAACAGAGAAAGGATAAAAAATCATAAAGGATCAGGAAGGATAAAAAAGGACCAAGAAGGAAGGACCAAGAAGGATAAAAAGGACCAAGAAGGATAAAAAAGGACCGGGAAAGATAAAAAATCATAAAGGATCAGGAAGGATAAAAAATTAGATAAACAAATTCCAAAGTTCTGTCCCATTGTTTACGAGTCTATGTGTATAGGTTCTGTGAAAAATGTCTTAAGTGCATGGTCTATTAACTAAAACTAGCCAGGAACCAAAACTAGTATCCGTTAGCCAGGAACTTGCGCGCTTCATCAATCGAACTTCTTAGCATGAGCTATTCAAGGAATAATTTTCCCATTGTTCTCGTATCGAACAGAAATAAAACTGTACTGTTAAAACAATTTATGGAATAATTGTCCCATTGTTCTCGTATAGAACAGAAATAAAACTGTACTGTTAAAACAATTTAAGTCATAATTGTCCCATTGTTCTCGTATCGAACAGAAATAAAACTGTACTGTTAAAACAATTTATGGAATAATTTTCCCATTGTTCTCGTATCGAACAGAAATAAAACTGTACTGTTAAAACAATTTAAGGAATAATTGTCCCATTGTTCTCGTATCGAACAGAAATAAAACTGTACTGTTAAAACAATTTAAGAAATAATTGTCCCATTGTTCTCGTATAGAACAGAAATAAAACTGTACTGTTTAAACAATTTAAGTCATAATTTTCCCATTGTTCTCGTATAGAACAGAAATAAATCTGTACTGTTAAAACAATTTAAGTCATAATTTTCCAATTGTTCTCGTATAGAACAGAAATAAAACTGTACTGTTAAAACAATTTAAGTCATAATTTTCCAATTGTTCTCGTATAGAACAGAAATAAAACTGTACTGTTAAAACAATTTAAGTCATAATTTTCCCATTGTTCTCGTATAGAACAGAAATAAAACTGTACTGTTAAAACAATTTAAGGAATAAGTTTCGGACACACATAATTATTTGGAAAAGTTACAAAATATCAAATTCAAAAAATAAATGTTTGCAATTTTTAGTGTTGATTCGGGTTTAAAAGTTTTTTTTAACTTAGAAAGAGGGATAAATTATGTATGAACTTTTATTTTATTATTATTTATTTTATCTTTTGTACAGAGTGTCCTACAAAACATGAGAGTTCTTCAAAATTAATTGCGACATTCATTTGTCAGCCTACTTTTATGATTCTTGAATGGTTGAATGATTCTCAAAACAATAATCACGAATGGTTTTACTTGAAAAATTAGGTTGACGAATGAATGCCGTCAATTATTTCATAGATCAAAGACGATCTTCAGATTGTCTCTCTACTGTCATGTTTCAAGGGACATCCTGTGTTGTATGTTAAAAGACCTCTTTGTGTAAAACTCATTGGAAGTAATTGGCAAAACCCTGACAGAACTAGTTTTCTTTTAATTTCTGAAAAATCTTTTTTTTGTTTTTACTTAGATTATACGTCCCTAAAAGTAATAATAAAGCTTTGGGAGTTGTAGAAAAAATATGAACATTTTGTTTTACTAAAAGTATTTCGAATTGATGAACAGTATTTTCGAAACTGCTAAGTCAGATTATCAACAGGCTCAAAATATCAAGATACTCCTTGAGTTATTACACCAAGTCATGCTCTGCTTAAGTTAATTGGAACTTCTCACGAACCTCATAAACTCTCGACTCAAATCTACTTCTTTTAGATCTTTTTCTCAAGTAAATCTGTGCTCTGGTTGTGGGATACACGGTTAAATCTAAAAAGATTGACCGCAATTCTTTCATTCATAACAACGAAAAACTTTACAACAGAAACTTTTAAAAAAGTATAGCGTACATATAAACACATTTAATCATAAATAAACGAAATATCAAAGATTTATTATATCGGAATTATTTGCGGCAATCTACACCATTAATATCTAAAAATGCGCGTAAAAAGGTGAACATTTTTAAGGACACAGAACTCGAAAACTTCAATTCAATTGACACTATTTTTTTCGATTTACTAAAATTCAATATTTATTAATTAATTAACGTGGACCGATTCTTAAAAAATATTTTTATCTTGGAGGACTGACACTTCTTAAAAATAATATTGAAAGGACGAGGATTTAGAGGTGGCTCGAACGAGGAAATGAGGAGAATGTGACTCGGACTAGAAATTGTTGTGGCTGGCCTTCCTCCCCTCGCTGAAGTACAGACTCATACTCTCCTCCGTCCGTAGCCTCACAACTTTACTCCAGGGGATTCAGAGGCAAGCGAAAACAGAACGTAACGAAAACGTTGCGTAACAGAAACTATTTACATACTTTACATTGCGCTAGTTCTTATTAACAGTTTAGCACTATTTACATACTCTTGCGCCTCTTCTTTTGACAGTTTAGCACTATTTACATACTCTAAATTGCTCCGCTTTTTTTAACAGTTTAGCACTATTTACATACTCAACATTGCGCTGGATCGTTTAGCAGTTGTGCACTATTGACATACTCTACATTGCGCCGGTTCTGATACACTGTCTCTCATTGCAAGGGATAAATAATTTGATTAAAATCAGTTTTTTATTTTTACTTTTTATTTGTGAGGATATCTGTGTATTATGTACATATACCAAGTCAAGAAGTATGGATTACACATAAAGAATTTATCGAATGATGCTCCAGGGAATACGAATACAGAGCAGTATCAATATATATATATATATATATATATATATTTTTTTTTTGAAAAAAAAATGTGAAGTTAAAAACTAAAATATATATATGTTTATCAACATTTACATTCATATTAATGATTTTAACATGCTGCAGTACATATATATAATATCACCATTTACATTCATATTAGTAATTTTACATGCTGTATAGTACATATATAATGTCACCATTAACATTCATATTAATGATTTTAACATGCTGTAGTAAATATATATGATATCACTATTCACATTCATATTACTGATTTTAACATGCTGTAGTAAATATATATAATATCACTATTCACATTCATATTAATGATTTTAACATGCTGTGGTATATATATATAATATCACCATACACATTCACATTAATGATTTTAACTTAGTATTTGTTAAACTTAAATTTAAAACTTCATGGTTAAAAGTGCACAACATTTACAGTCAATCTTAGCATTACATTAAACAATATAAAAGTTTAGAAACAGGTGCGATACAAGACTTTTAGCATGAGTATAGTTTAGTTTTTCAGAGGTGATTTTTAGAAATGGAGTTTCTTGGTCCCATTCTAGCGTTTTTCGTTTTCTAAAAATGTGGTATGATGACAGCACTGCAAGGCTTAATAGATTTTCCCACATTGCTTTGAAACCAACACTGGGTTTGCAGAACTTATGGAGTTTCTTTGGATTTGCTTTATTTGATAGTGAGATATATCTTCAGCCGATTTCAAAAGGGTGAACAGACACATCCCTAGTTGTTATATCTGCGATAAAATGTTCATACTTGTTCATCTTTTGAGCATTGGCATTTTTGATATTTGTTTCCAACGGGACAGTAAGCTCAAAAATATCCATCTTTTCCTCCATTCTATTGATATTTACTAGACGTAAAAACTTTTTTTTTGTTTAACAAATTATAACAATTTAAAATCATGCTAATTTGACTTGCTTTATAAATGTATTCCTTAAAGAGTCTCCATAAAGTTAATATTATCTAATTCTTGAAGGAACTACTTTAACCTAACTATGAACTAATCGAGTGTAGAAACTATGTGATATGTTGTATAAGCTTAAAGCACCATGTTTCCTAAATCTAAACTTGAACACTTTCAGTTTTCTTCCACTGTGTTAATCGTCCTGTTACTCTGGAATTCTTTCTGATAGGTCATATCCTTCTGTTTAACCCGGAGTACGGTTGGATTTGTAAAATTATCCTCTAATCCCTTCAATATCCGACTCTTTATGATAACACCTACATTCTTCTATCTCAACATTTTTATCCAGTTTTAAACTTTCAAGCTTAAAGACATGCTTGGTAAGTTTAAGAGATATATATAAAATATGTTTATAACAAGATCTAACTAGTAATCAGGTCTAAACTAGATAGTAAAACTTATAGCCATGTCTAATATATATTGATTTAACTTATCAGGTCTAAACCAAATAGACATACAAAGGAACTGAGTTTTTGTCACAAACTCTACTTTTCTATCCTCTTTATCTTTGCTACCCAATGTCGCAGACCTCTGATATTTCAAACTATCAATTCTGTCAGACCAAATAATCTAGGTTTGAAATATCTAAGGTTTACATCATCAGATTGTAAAGATATAGGGATTAGACAATTTGAATTTGTGACAAAAACTCAATTCCTTTAAAACAATCATTCCATAACTATTATTTAGCGTTGACATTTTTTTAAAAAGAGGAAAATGGCAGGTTGTTGAATATGGTTTTTATTTATAAAATATTCTGCCTGGAGTAAGTTAACGATTAAATCAGTGAAGAATGTCATTCGAATTTTATCTGCAGTTCCTTTCCTCAACCTTAAAAGAAAACTATTTTCAATATATACATCTTAAATTCAAAACCATATAAAATACAATTTTGCTTGTGTTTCTTATCTAATCTTCATAAATTATTATTTTAACTGAAACTTAGAAATATATTTTAACATTAAGACACATGTTTAGTTGAATAAATACGAAAACATATATTAAGACAATTCAATGAACTAAAATACGGAGATCTGGACCCCCTGCACTAGATTGAGAAAACTGGACTCACAACATGACTAGCTACTATAGTAAAAAAACTGATGTTAGATATTTTATTCCGTTATTATATAAATTCAAACATTATGATACAGTAAAAGTCTGTTTCAAACACTTTTTTATTCATACAAAAGGTTTAAATAAAAATGGCAGAAATGCATATCTTTATTTTTGTTTTTATTTCATTTTTATTGTTGATTTTTAAATAAGAAAATTACCGTGCGAAAGAAACTAGTGTCTCAAAAAAATATCCATATTTAACCCTATTTAGCCTGACGTCTGGTTTACTGACTGGCGCCCCTCTATTTATAGCGAATCTAGTTATAAAGCGAAAAATGTGCAAAAAAATTGCACAGATTGCAACAAATGATACATTTTTGAAAAACCCTTGACCCAGCAAATTCGAATGTGCAAAAGAATTTGCAAAATTTTAAAAACCTAAATGTGTATTCAAGAAAAACTGAAATTTCACACATTCCCTTTCAAGGCGTCCGTGCAAAAATCTGTGCAAAATTTCTTTGCAACAATTGCTTTTGTTATGGGCTTTCTAAAGAGCTATATAATGTTGAAATCCAATGACTGGAAGTAAGTCTAAATATAAATTTAGTCCAAATAGGCCAAATAGGGTTAACAATCAACTATATTTAATAAGATGAGAATTAAAGATATTTCAGCATAGAAGTCAAAGATTATGCGAGTAAATGGGGAAAAATGGAGAAGTTTAAAAATAAGAAAACTATTTTATGATAATTCAAGAAAAAGAGACATAAATTTAGCATGAAATAAAACTGAGGGGGAAGAAGAAAAAGCAGACAAAATGAATATCTAAAATTTTGCACATTGCCATCGTGTTTACAAGTTTTCACATGATGCACCCCCCCCCTCTACTGTTGCACCCCCCACCCTCTACTGTTGTGCCCCCCTCCTCCTACTGGTTCTCCTCCAGAAGCCTCTCGAACTCAGCCTCTGCATCCTCGAGGTTCTCCTCTGTTGGTTCTTCGATCAGGGTTAACGTTTTCATGTCAACAGTTCGTCCCTGTACAATCATTTTTATCACTATCATTGATATTATTATTAATTTAAAAATGCTATCTGTTATGTTTTTATCATAATTATTGACATTATTATCAAAATAAAGATGTTCTGCGCCTTTCAGTGAATAACTAAAATTATTCCACGGTTTTCTTTCAATATTAAACAATAATTTCATTTTTATACTTTCTTCTAACGCATAATATACTGTAAATGGTGCTAATCTGATGCTATGTTTTTATCATTATTATTGACATTATTATCAAAATAAAAATACATCTGAACGTTTTTATCTTATTTTTTATTTTATTTTTTATTTTATTTTTCATCATTATTTACATTTTTATAAAATTATCTTTTTCAGTATTTGCATTCTTAAAATACTTAATATACACTTTCATTATTGATTATTCTTATCATCAATATAAACTCGATCAAACTGTAAATTATCTTTTTACGGAACAAGCTTTGGCATGCAGGAGATCAAAACAAGTTTTCAAACCAAGCTTAGAACGTCTAACGAGTTACCAAATTAAGATTTGAGGCAAATCGGTCTTTTAACAAGAAAAAGTTTTATTTTCATCTGAAAACTGCTGTAAAACAATAGATAATGTTTTTTTTTGGATTTTTTAAATCTCAGTATTTTTCTTGCTTGGGCTTCCCGTAGTTATAAAAAGATTTGAAAAAAAGACATTTTTTTATATTTTCTAGGATGAAAGTGTTACAAGTGTTAATTGTTTTTGGAAGTCATGTAAAAGAGTGATTTGAAATTTCACTCTGATCTTTTAATTTTTTCTAATAAAATTTTGTTTTTAATTTTTGTTTTTACCTGGAATACAATAATGTATTGGTTACTAGCCCAAACCATATTAGGATCATGTGGAGTTTGTTTTACATTTCCTGATACCCAGGGATTCAATCCCTAAACATATATTAACAGATAGTAACAAGTACCCAGATACCCAGGGATTCAAACCCTAAACATATATTAACAGATAGTAAAAAGTACCCAGATACCCAGGGATTCAAACCCTAAACATATATTTACAGATAGTAACAAGCTACCAGATACCCAGGGGTTCAAACCCTAAACATATATTTACAGATAGTGACAAGTACCCAGATAACCAGGGATTCAAACCCTAAACATATATTAACAGATAGTAACAAGTACCCAGATACCCATGGGTTTAAACCCTAAACATATATCCATTCATTTACTTCAAAAATCAATTCCCTTTCTCCTGGTGCGCGCAGTGCAATCTATCTATCATTTGACCGTTATCATGAATCCCAGTTACCCCCGTAAAAAAATTAAATCCTTCAATGTAAAAGTTTATGCTGTGGATATCAAGTTCAGTGCTATCCCAACCAAAAGCCTTTATGATTGATTACCTTGAAGACGTATTTAGCAAAAACATAATCAAGACGATCTTGTGCTTGTAGAAACTGCTCCTCGTTGAAACAGGTGAACACCGTCTACAGGGACATCTTCATCTTTAACAAGGACTGGGTGGTGGGGTACAAAAACAAATGTGAAGTTGTGAACCCTCCACGTTAAGAGAAGCATGCTCGATTCACAACGATAAACAATGGTTTGATAAATAATGTGGAAGATATTGTGATTTTTCTAGATTAAAATATGTTTATTTGTGACAGTTTTTCTATTGTTTCTGAAGCCGACATGAACAAGACACCGTTGTGAATCGATCATGCAACTCTCTAAATAAATAAAAACTATTCTTAATCAAATTTTTAGATTTATTTAAGATCTATTTTAAAAATTTCAAAATAGCAATCAAGTCTGTTTTTATTTCTTTGTTTTTGTTTACGGACTCCTCCTACTGCTGTGACTGCTAAAGATTCCCATGTTTTTGTGCAAAACTACCTTTTTATCTTCTTGTTTACAACTTGATTCATTTAATATTTATTTCACCATTTTTCTTTATCTTAAAGAGCTTTCAACGTGATTTAAAGATTTTTTGAATCCTTTTATTTCGTTCTTTCCCTTTCATTTAATAACGATTACAATTACTAACTGGAGCTACAGGGTGTCCCACTAAACATGGTAGTTAGGAGACGATTTACAGGTCGTCTTTCATCATTAAAAGCTATCCAAAAACAGGGGGTTCTCTTAAATAAAGGTTGCAAAAGACAATTTTGATGTTATCAAATAAATTAAATCATGATCTCTTGGCATATTTAAAATCACCAAAATAAGTTCTACCATATTTTGAAAACCTTAATTTAATAATTATTGACAATATTGAATATGACGCCGACTTGATTGTAATGTTATACGAAACAATAACTGAGAAATCTTCGTTTTTCCATCTAAAATTTACGTAACCGAAAACAAAACATATTTCGAGTTACAACCGTTTTTTGGGTTTACATGCAAAAATTAATTAATCTAAAACGTGAAATTTCTTGAACAAGGTTTTCACTTTTAAATATATCGTAAAGTTGAATGCCACTTTCTCAGCTGAATGATGATTGAATAATAGACAAATAGGGAAAATGCAGGATTTCAAGATTTTAACCCTGTGTTTAAATTTTAACTCGTCGATTTCGGCGAGTTAAATATTTAACCACAGGGTTAAATATTTAACCTCACGGTTAAAGTTCAGGGTTAAAATAAGTCAGAAGTGGCATTTGACCATGAACTTAAAATTTAAGTCAAAACTTGTCGTTCTTTAGTTTTAGACTCTGGAAGGAATTTGAGAGGGAACAATAAAAGTGTTGAATAGATAAAACTACTTTTTAACTGAAGATGCTATTGGAAATAGACCAATTAACAGGAAACATAGCAATTGTACAGTAAACACAGACCCATTTCACTTCGTAAGTTGTTTTTGTAACCTCCAGGTAAAACTATTTATTTTCATTGATTTGTTGTCGTCATTCTATTCCACAGATTTATGGGTCTCATTGTAGTTACCTGGGATGAATTGCCATAACAATCTCAGGGCGTTCCATCTTCCTAGTCTGGACATATCTGGAAATACAGGGAATATTAGTTCCATCTTCCTAGTCTGGACATATCTAGAAATACAGGGTATATTAGTTCCATCTTCCTAGTCTGGGCATATCTAGAAATACAGGGAATATTAGTTCCATCTTCCTAGTCTGGACATATCTGGAAATACAGGGAATATTAGTTCCATCTTCCTAGTCTGGACATATCTAGAAATACAGGGGATATTAGTTCCATCTTCCTAGTCTGGACATATCTAGAAATACAGGGGATCTTCCTAGTCTGGACATATCTAGAAATACAGGGGATATTAGTTCCATCTTCCTAGTCTGGACATATCTAGAAATACAGGGGATATTAGTTCCATCTTCCTAGTCTGGACATATCTAGAAATACAGGGGATATTAGTTCCATCTTTCTAGTCTGGACATATCTAGAAATACAAGGGATATTAGTTCCATCTTCCTAGTCTGGACATATCTAGAAATACAGGAAATATTCCTAGTCTGGAAATATCTAGAAATACAAATTAAATGTTTAGAATATTTCCCACGGTTTTTGGTCTTTGGATGTGCATTAATGCAATATGCATTCAGAATTTAATTCCTGTCCACCCGGTATCTGACACCCCTGTTCCTATCAAATACAGGGTGTTTCAATAAATACTGCAGTTGAGAAAAGACTTGATCATCGTTTTTGATCGTTAAAACAATTTGCGGCATTTATTCGTCATTTAAAAATACATACCAGGACCCCGGGATATTTTGGGATTATTGCATTGTACTAGTAAAATGTTACTTATTAAGGTTGACGAATTTATGCCACACGTTCCAAGACGATCTTCAAATCTTCTCTCAACTGCCATGCTTCATGGAACACCCTATACCTCCCTTCATACAATAAGCTAGTGCACTTATTCAACACTAGGGTATTCTCTTTGTTGAGAATACTTTTATAAAATCTAAAGAAAATATACATCGTTGAAATATTCTTTATATTTGTTGTATATTTATGTTTGGAGCATATGGTGCACAAGGAATTGGAAAAGGGGAATTGAATAGAATTGAAAATGCTCTTTGTCATAAAATCAAATTTTATGACAAAACATTATTTGCTTGCAAATAAATATCATTTTTCTAAAAATCACTACATTTTTTTCTTCAAAAGAGGCAATACATCTGAACAAAAAAAGATGTCACAGAGTTCGTATTTTATTTCGGACTTATTATACAAGGAGTATGTTTTAAAGAGTGCAATACAATACGTAATAACCATTTGATGGAAATCTGTATTTTATTTAATGCAACTTGGATGGATTTTAAATTGGAAATGAAAGATAAATTTAAAAAATACAAGGACAAACATTATTTATTTGATTTTTTTTTAGTTTTTTAGTTTGAGATTAAAGGGACTGTAAACGTAATTTCAGCTGAACCTCCATACAAAGATGGCTATGACCTATTTTCAGCGGTAGCCCTGAAAGCTTTGTCTGATCAAGTATGAAATAGATATCAATTATTTTGTTACTTTAAACTGTTTATTTTCATTTTCAGTTTCTTTCCTAAAGTACAATGCCATCTTTACACGTAGGTTCACTTGAAATTACGGCTACAGTCCATTTAAAAATAGAATTTGAATCTAACTACAATAGAATTGGTTTTAAAAACGAATGTTTGGATATTTAGGCAATCACGAATTATTAGGAAAACGATTGATCTTTTTTTTTCACAAAAAAAATATTGATACTTTGTATCCGCTGAAATATTTATTTTGTGACAAAACATATTTGAATTTAAATCTTGGAATTTATAACGTTTTAAATTTTGCAATAATACAAATATAATGATTTAAAAATACATAATTTTAAATCAATTTTCCACAATGATGTCAAATCATTTTTAAAAAATTACCTTTCCCAGAAATCATGGTACAGACCGTCCCATGCAGTCAACTTACATCTTAACAAATATAATTAGCTTAAATCGTAAAAATAGGCAATACTAATTTTTTATAATAACATCACAGAAAATGCGTTTTACTTAACTTGTTTTAGAATTTAAAGCATAATGTATTGCAAGTTGATACATTAAAGTAGTGATTTGTCATAACAATATCGCATAATCTGCTTTTACTTAACTTGTTTTAGAATTTAAAGCATAATGTATTGCAAGTTGATACATTACAGTAGTGATTTGCCATAACAATATCGCATAATATGCGTTTTACTTAACCTGTTTAAGTATTTAAAGCATAATGTATTGCAAGTCGATACATTAAAGTAGTGGTTTGTCATAACAATATCGCATAATATGCGTTTTACTTAACTTGTTTTAGTATTTAATGCATAATGTATTGCAAGTTGATACATTAAAGTAGTGATTTGTCATAACAATATCGCATAATCTGCTTAAAATATTTAAAAACATAATGAATCGCCAGTAGATTTATTAATATCTAAAGAGAGTGAGGGGGTTATGTTTACATTTTCCTGTAATATATTAGGTACGTGTGCCTCGCCAAATCAGTCTAATCCAAAACAATGACAAAAATTTGTAAACTAAGAGTTTTCTGGAAAATACGAGAAAAACTGTGGAATTATAGTTTACTACAGTATTACCCACAAAGGATGAGACTTCAGTGACGATTGTACGGAATTTAAACTTAATTTGACCTGGGGATCGTATTATTTAGGTCGTTTTCACAGAACCATCCTTTGTGGGTAACCCTGTAATTGCTTTTTATTTACAATAAAACCAGTTTCTGAGCAGTCCTACATTCCTAATAGATCACGGAAAGCACGCCTTTCCAGGTTTAATATATTTATATTGTCGTCACAATAGCCTCATCCTTTGTGGATAACCCTGTATCAAACTCAAACATTTTTATTATTTTGAAATACCTTTTCCATTATGTTAAATTCAATAAATTTATTTGTGTGTATATACCGTATAATGACATACATTGAACTTTATGTTCCCTCTGAAATTCTAAATTCCAAATTCTGTCATTTCTCCACAATCCCATTCAATACACATCTTATCCTTTGTATAGAAAATATACAAATAAAGATCAATGGAGCCTGGCACTGCAGATCAGTTTTCAGAGAATAAAAGAAAAAAACACAAAAATAAAGGAGAATAATGATATAAAAAAAGATAATAGAAGTGAGCAAAAGTAAAGTACGACTTAAACGTTTAAAAAAGAATAAAATAAAAGTGACGACAACATAAGTGCATGCGAACTAAAATCTAATAAAATCCTAGGAAAAGTTTCAAATAAATATAATTGACCAATCCATCACCAAATTCTGTACTAAAATTGAGTAAATATTGAGGAAAAAAATTTACTATGTTTTTATTTTAACAATAATTTTGATTTGACACGCACCTCTGACCCTTTAGTAAAAGTAAATTCAACCTAAAGTCTGACCGCGTCAACCTTGTTGCACCGGCTAGTCCTATTGAGTGTCTGCTTTATTTACCCAATGTCCGGGCGATACAGTACAAACTGGGAGCGGAAAGGTTGACCCGGCTCGGAAATTCAAATGTACTACGGCTGCCGGTGTTGAGAATTTAAAGTATTTTCATAGAATAAGCTTAGCAAGAATAACGTTTTCGTGTGCTGTTTTCACATTTGCCTGATAGGTTTTACTACAGGTCTCAGCTTTTATATCAATATTTTTAGGAGATAAAACTATTGGAGAATTGCTGTTATGTGAATGAAATACGAATATAATATTGGATTGTTTTTTTTTACAATATGAAATAAAACTTTGCATTGTCCTACAATAATTTTTCCTATAATCATTTGTCCTACAAATCTTTTGTCCTTCTGGAGGGAGAACTGTCCCTTTAAACTATCCGAACCTGTCCTGTATAAGCATAGGACTGGAGGGAGAACAGTCCATTTAAACTATCCTAACCTGTCATGTATTAGCATAGGACTGAATAGTCCATTTAAACTATCCTAACCTGTCATGTATAAGCATAGGACTGGAGGGAGAACAGTCCATTTAAACTATCCTAACCTGTCATGTATAAGCATAGGACTGGAGGGAGAACAGTCCTTGGCCAGCTGCCTGTTCCCGGCGCTAGGGGACACCATCGTCAACTTGATCGGGTTCAAGGGGTTACAGTTCAAGATCTCAACATAGAAACCAGCATACACCATTGTTGCCTAAATATATAATGTTGACGTTAGACATACATTAATTATTAAAGAAAGTGTATAATTTATATATCACGATATATCCTTGTTTTTCTCTCTGAGAATTGAAAATTGCATTGTGATAGGTTTACTAACTAACTAGCAGATCTACGCTGCAGGACAATGAGAACACAATTGTTAGAAAATAGCTATATCTTTCTCACGAATGTTTAAAAGGTACCCTGGTGAATCTGACAAGGCCTATTAAATTACATCCAAAGTCTCTATAACGGTATAAAATATGGTTGGAAATGATTTAAAAAATAGAAGATTTTCTTCTAGTATATTTTTCTCCGGACCTATCTTAATTTAACATGTTTAAAATATTATGCTTTTAAATTGTTTAATACTGTCTTTTAGTCTGATATCCATTTGTGCAGGTTATCATTTTCTCTTTTTAAATACAAAACTTATAAAAACTGTCGAGAGAACAGAAACAATGATTTAACTATTATAAAATCTCTTTACAGTAAGAAAACGGTGGAATATTTAGACTACACTTAAACACTTTCTGTGTATTTTATGTGTTACTTGTTACAAGGTAAATAGTAGCTCTAAAATTAAATTATAAAGTAGAATTAGTCTGTCTACACTGCACAATTGCTGTGGCTCAGGTTAATTGGACGATGTTGAATCTAAACTTAAGTCTTTAAGTCGTCTTTTTATTCCAGAGTTTTCTGATTCTCATTGTATGCAAGAACTAGAATCACCTCTGGAGTATCTGTTCCAACCAGATGAACAGACTTAGGGGAATCCTTCTTTCTTTTAGGTGTATAGTTTGCAACAGCTTTACCAATGGTCATCGGATGGGTCAAAACTATACAGTTTTTAGTGTTATTATATTTAGGACGCGGTTGGTTTTATTAATCATTATATCTAAGAAGAAAAATGCATAAATATTTTTTTTCTTATTTTCTGAAACTTTTTTGAGAATTTTGTTTATAAATTAGATTAAAAGTTCTTAAATTGAGAGATAATATAAATTATCTTTATATTAACGTTTTTATACTCAACAATTTGATTGTTTATTTTTTTCATATTTAAATATTTATTGAGTTTTTTATGCCAAGAATGAATCATAAATCTTCACACATTTAAATTACTTTAAAAAAGATTAGCTAATGATTAGCAAGAAGTAGATGAACTAGGCACAGGAAGTTGAACTACTTTACAATTGTGGCAATGGGTGCATTAAAAATCAGTTCAACTCATTCAAAAAGTTCTCATTATGCTCTTTTTTTTGATGATTTATCCATTTTCTCTACAGAAATCTAAGTAAAAATGTAAATTGTAATTTAAATAATGAACCTGAAGTGACTAATCTCTTGAGGCTGTTAACAACCTCCTCCTCCCCTGGGTCAGGTCGACCTGTATACTCCCACCATTTGTGCACTACAGCCGCCTGATATATTTATTCATAAAGATATTTTGTAATTATTTATGTACAGCCGCCTGATATTTTTATTCAAAGAGATATATTGTAATTGTTTATGTACAGCCGCCTGATATATTTATTCATAGAGATATATTGTAATTATTTATGTACAGCCGCCTGATATATTTATTCAAAGAGATATATTGTAATTATTTATGTACAGCCACCTGATATATTTATTCATAGAGTTATATTGTAATTATTTATGTACAGCCGCCTGATATATTTATTAATAGAGATATATTGTAATTATTTATGTACAGCCACCTGATATATTTATTCATAGAGATATATTGTACTTATTTATGTACAGCCGCCTGATAAATTTATTCATAGAGAAATATTGTAATTATTTAAGTACAGCTACTGTGAATAGATTTTAGTGCATGAACTAAGATTCGCCCAAATATTAAGCTAAACACGTTTTGCCAAGCCGGTTGAAAAAAGTATGGTGGCTTGGTAAGATAAAACCTGGCGACGGTTTAAAGTCGGACCGGTCTGAAAAGTTGACACAAACATGCTGCAGTCAATAAATAGTGCTGGTTATTTAAAGATTTCAGCGGGGATCCCTAGTAAACCCATTATTTCCCTTCCTTCTCCCGATACATTAATTAGAGCTATTTCTGATATCAAATATATTGATATGTGGCCTAAGAGGCTACATAGGATCCAAAACTGTCTATGTATCGGAATAAGAAATTAGATTTGACATTTTAAAATAAATTAGGATTTTTTAATGATGCCTCGAACTTTTTTTAAGGCTATTGGGTGAAAAGCGTATAATGGAATTGAATCATTTAACAGCGATAGAATGAGGAAAAGCTGACTTTTCGCTACAAGAAAAGGATAATTTGGAGTTTACAACTTTTTAAAAAGTCAGACGACCGCCTGGAGCGCTGCGGCTAGGTAATACTAGGGAGCCGAGAGCAGCAGAAGGATAGATTAGGGGACTGTGCTCTGAGAGAAGACAGATTTCGGTAGTTTGTTTTTCAGAAGTCTGCACATTCCGGAGTTTCTCTTGTCTTTCCGTGGTAAGTATTTCCGCAGTTTATCTTTGTCCGGGATATTATTTACCAAACATAATAAGCGATTGTATTAAACACCAAGGCAAGAGAAGTATTGGGTTTGTTTAAATTTTACTGTTAATTATCCAAAAACCCTAAAACTTGTAATACAGCATTATTACGCAACAAATGTTGGTCCGGCCTTGGTTATAATCTTTGTTATTGTTTATAATCTATCCAGTTCTTGAACTTTCCAAATACGTATCTCTTTGGAAGAAAAACTAAGAGCTCCTTTAAAGGAATTGAGTCTTTGTCACAAACTATGATTTTCTAATCTCTATATCTTTGTAATCCAATGCCGTAGACCTTAGATATTTCAAACTATGAATTCTGTTAGATGAAGAAATCTAAGTTCGAAATATCAAAGGTTTACACCATCAGGTGGGAAAAAAAGGTATTAGAAAATCAGAGTTTGTTCAAAGACTCAATTCCTTTCACCCTTTTTTACCTTATGTTTTTACTTTATGTAATGGCAAAAATTTACGATTCATCTATACATAAATTTGGCTTGTCTGTCTGTCTGTTTGTATCCAATAAACGTCAAAACGGCTGAACCGATCGGGCCCAAATTTTTTGTGGGACATCTAGGGACCCCAGGGAAGGTTTATGAATGATTGAAATTTTAAATATTTGTCTCAATCAAAATTCGATCGTCATTAAATTTTTTAAAATTTTGAAAATCCACGAAATTTTTTGTGAAAATCCGCGAATTATTTTTGTTTTGTTTTACGATGTACACAAAGAGAACATGTTCACAATTAATTTAGAAGATGGGCGCGAAGCGCCCTCTAAGGCTAGTATTGTATATTTATAGAACATGTATCTTTAATATATTCCCTGTAGGAACCTAAATGTTATAATTGATAAAAAGAACAGGTTTAAACTTATATCGGTTCAGAATAATTTGAAAAAGTTTTATCTTTGCATAAAACTTCAAAAGGCTAATTAAGACTTTGTTGAAAACATACTGGTTTTTGAAAGAGAGTGCAGACGACTTAATTCTAAGGAATTCTTCATTAAAAGAGTTGTGGTTTGTGAACGATACCCTTTTTAAGTTTAAACCTTCGTCGATCTAGGCAAAAATAAATTTCTTCTCAAAAACTTTATTAAAGGAAAAGGCAGGTATGAAAATAAAAGAACTTATTAAATCAAAAGTACGATAAAATTCAGACAAATTAACCATCGATGTGGCAAACATGATGAGAATATTTTCTAAAAATCGGAAATTGAAGTTTCAAATGTGTTTTCTTCATAAGAGTGACAAATACGGAGAAAAAAAAAGGAAATCGTAAGAATTTTTAGGACAAAGGATAAGGTTAGGAAAACTTTGTAAAAAGGTTGAGGAAAATGAAAGAGGTATGGAAAACTTAATAGCAAAAGAAGAAGAAAAGGGAAATAGATATGAAAACCCCGTTAGAAAGGTTGAGGAAATTAAAATAGGTATGTAAAATCCGCTAGAAGGGTTGAGGAAAATAAAAGAGGTATGAAAACCCTGGTAGAAAGAGTAAGGAAAATAAAAGAGGTATAGAAAGGATGAGGAAAATGAAAGAGGTATGGAAAACCTGATAGAAAGGATGAGGAAAATGAAAAAGGTATGGAAAACCTGATAGAAAGGATGAGGAAAATGAAAAAGGTATCTAGGTATAGGATACGGTCACAGACTAGATATAATAGATGTACTCTTTTATCTCTGGATAAGGAGAAATATGGCGCAATTTCCCTGTTTTATCCAGCTTTGTAATTAAAGTCAAGGAAGGGAGAGTAAACTTTTCATTGGATAATTAAACCTTTATCCTGAAATAAACCCTTCTACGAAGCAAATTGTGGAGGAGGGGGGNNNGGGGGGGGGGGAGGAATTATTTCTGCTATTTGCTAACAATGTATACAGAGTATATTACGATGATTCTCTCCTTCGTAATTCAAAATTGCACTTTTTAATGTTTAAATTTTCCTTGGATTTTTTTGACCATTTTGTTTTTGAGATAGTGTTTGGTAGAAGCTTAAGCAACGTGTTTGGGAAGCATTCTACCACCTGATCAACTCTAAACATAACAAACAACATATAGATCTTCAAAATACATTTATCATACTGTTCAGAAGTTTGTGGTTTATTAAACTGTTCAGAAGTTTGTGATTTATCAAACTGTTCAGAAGTTTGTGATTTATTAAACTGTTCAGAAGTTTGTGATTTATTAAACTGTTCAGAAGTTTGTGATTCTTTTGAAATTTTCGAAAATATGTTGTTTTCCTGGCTGTTTTCAGATTTTCTTTATTCTTGTCGCTCGCGACATTATACTTCTCTAGTTTCTTCATTGTAACCTTGAACGCTAACCTAGAGAACAGAGAAGTTCTTCAACTGGGGTTTAAAGAGATTGTTAGCCATATTCTTAATTCCATTCAAAAACTGGGGTTTAAAGAGATTGTTAGCCATATTCTTAATTCCATTCAAAAACTGGGGTTTAAAGAGATTGTTAGCCATATTCTTGATTCCATTAAAAAACTGGGGTTTAAAGAGATTGTTAGTCATATTCTTGATTCCATTAAAAAACTGGGGTTTAAAGAGATTATTAGCCATATTCTTGATTCCATTCAAAAACTGGGGTTTAAAGAGATTGTTAGCCATATTCTTGATTCCATTCAAAAACTGGGGTTTAAAGAGATTGTTAGCCATATTCTTGATTCCATTAAAAAACTGGGGTTTAAAGAGATTGTTAGCCATATTCTTGATTCCATTAAAAAAGGATTAAATTATCCATTGGGAGGAAATTCAATAAATTGCGAGAAATAGTTGAACTACGTAGACTCAGTTGAACCCCTTACGTCAACGTAGTTCAACAAAGAAGGGTCAACCCCAATGGAATTATTCTTTATTGTTGTTCAGAAAAAGGGTTGAAAGGGTTACTTGAATCACAGTGACCTTCTGTTTCAGAATTGCCATGCTAAGATATGAAAATCGAAGAATGTTACGTTTTACAAAAATTGTAACATTAACGTTCTTCTACCTTATCATAAAAGAGTGGAAAATCAAAATATAACAACACAATGCTAATATTTCAATGGATAATTCATCAAATAATAATTTTATCATATCTTAAAAAGTATACGTTTCTATTTTTAAATCTCGACATGCACTGGGTTGAGAAAGGACATATGGGAACCAATCGGATTAATATTTTCATGAGAGAAGTCAGGGAGTTATTTTGATTGGCTGTGGAGTGGGGGAGGGGGGGGATTGTAAAACAGAAATTCGTTGTTAAAATTCATCCTTCCTTGTTTTTTCTTCAACATCCTTGTTATATAATCCACCTTCACCAAAACATTCTTCAGGGCTCACTAGCTTCCCGTTCGGAGCCAGAACCTTGGCATATTTCAAGCTGAACTCTGTCGGAGGATACTTTGATGCCTCCGAGGGCCCGGAGGTTTGTCGAGCCATGTATTCTGCTTTTCTCTATGCTCTGAATGAATAGTCAAACTGAGTAGTCGAACTAGTGGGGGAAAGAGGGGGAAATGAAAGCTAGTTTAGTAAGAATGATGCAACTATAGTAATTAATATTAATTTTCAATTGTAGGGTATTAAGAAATATCAATTATCAAATAGCAAGACAAGGAACTGCTAAATAACTTACGTTATTAAAGTTGCCTTTTAATTTAAACAAGATTACTGAAAGTAAAAGTTGCAACTTCCCAGTTTAGAGGAGGGAAAGCCGGTTGCGCTGAGCGGGTCAGGTAAAAATAGAAAATCAGCTGATTTAGCAACTTCTACCTGTGACGTAATGATTAATCATAACTTAGTTTAATACTTTAATATTTTTAATTTTGTATTTATTACAAAATACAAATATAAACTTTTTCTATTGATTATTAAAGCATAAAAAATAATATCTAATTAATTTCTGAAAAATAAATCGAATAAAGATGGATAATATAAAGGTCATTTCTTTTTGTTATTTTTTCAACTTTGAGTATTTCTTCCTATCTAACACGCGTTTCTTTCCGTTCATCATTGACCCAATTTAACCCCCCCCCCCCCATCTAAAATTTACAATCCTTTGAACAAAGAGGCTTTAAGCTTCGTAGTTTGGTAAATCTGTAAAATATTGATATTAGGTTTGAATCCTATATCTTCTATTTTCTATAAATTGTTGATATTGGGGGGATTCAACTCCAATACAAGTTCAACAATTTTGTTATGCTGCTAGTTCCGCCATTTCTGATGCGTAAAATTTATGTGCTGCTGTGGGAGGAGATTAAAACAAATAATATTGAGGCAAATCCCATTTATTTGAGAAGATATTGCAATAAAGTATGAACATCAGGATTACAAAAGCAAAAATATTTGTGGTTTCGTTTAAAATCGTGTACCTCAATAACCTTAGACTGTTTATCGAACTATGTGCGTTATCTCTCAAATAGTGTTCGAACCTCCAAAATTCGAATAGAAATATTTATTTATCTTGATTTAAATATTTTTAAAATATTAATAGCTTGCTGCAAATTGTTCAACAAGCGTTTCTGAAAATTTACAAGGTATTAGTCCGACATCTTTCATTTATTTATCTATTTATCTATTTATCTATTTATTTATCTAGATTAAACGAGCGTTTCTGAAAATTTACAAAGTATTAGTCCGACATCTTTCATTTATTTATCTATTTATCTATTTATCTATTTATTTATCTAGATTAAACAAGCGTTTCTGAAAATTTACAAGGTATTAGTCCGACATCTTTCATTTATTTATCTATTTATCTATTTATTTATCTAGATTAAACAAGCGTTTCTGAAAATTTACAAGGTATAAGTCCGACATCTTTCATCAGTTAAAGGTTTAAAGGGTATTGTTGTGAATAGAGCACAAATGGAGGGTCAAATATTAAAATATTGCATATATCTATGTACAGATACTTTCTGATATGGTATTAAATATTCAAACTCAAATACAATATTCTTACAATGTTCATAAATATGAAATTCATATTTTAGAATAAATTCAAAAATATTTAGAATTTATAATCTTTGTTTACAACTTTTATACGCAGTTCTATATACCTCTGCACCTCCTTTAAACCCTGTAAGCCGGGCTAATCATTTAAGATTAAACATAGTGAATTTACTATTTTTTTTAGTAAAAAGCAAACTAAACATAATGTTCCAAAAAATGGGAGTTTAGAAGTTTTGATTGTACATTAATAATTTTGCAGTTTAATAAAACAAGAAATATACTCTGGAAGACGCAGATTTATTATGACATATGAAATTAGATGTTACAAAGTACGATCTAGAAGACGATCTAGAAGTCGTCACTTAATTCCCATGTTTATCGGGACACACTGTGGAAAAATGATCCCTCTTTTTCTTGTATGAGTATATACTAGATACTGAAAACCAATATAAGCCCAGATAATATATTTCTAAATAATGTAAATATAAAGATGGATATAAATATATTTATATGTTAGAAAAGTATGAAGGATAAGCACTCTTCACATTCTTCTCTCAATATATTAAACATCTTCATATCTCAATATACTGAGAAAATGAAAAGGGGAAAACAGTTTAAAGGGACAATCGATAAAATTTCAAGTGACCAGCTTCATATAAAGAGGTCTTTATCCGATTCACAACAGTACCCTTAAAACCTGTATGATCTGAGCTGGGAACTTTTGAATGGTGGATATCGGGATTAAGGCTTAATCCACTCTTTTTCTTAATCTCCAGATTAACATAATCTTACAAGATTATCTTAAAAGTGTATGAAAAACGATAAAATTCAAATTAATATTTAATCATCTGAGAAACTGTAGCAGCCAATCAGAGAAAAGCGGGCAACCAATGAGAGAACAGAAATATTCTCATTGGAGAAAAAAATTAACGGATATCCAAGGAGAGAGAAAAAGAGTGGATTAAGGACTAAAATGAAAAGTTTCCACAGTGGATATTTGGATCAAGAAGTCAGGATTAAAGTTTATCCATTCTAAAGTTTTCAGCTCAGATCAATAATATAAACGGTATTACAGGTTTTCTAAAAATTAACCAGTTCCTATGATAGCTGCAATACTCCTGAAATATTTTCTTTTTTATGAATTAGTATAATGCAATGTTTATGTAAAGAGGAGAGGCTTATTAAAAATGAATTGAGGGTTGGAGAATAAAAAATGACCTTTATGAGATGTAAAGGTTAGAAAGCCATTCTTTTGTATTTTATATTTAATACTTTTTTCTCAGTCAGAATTTATTCTAACGAATAAGTTTTGCTTTTCTTAAACGAAATAATCTTTTAACTCAAATAACCTTTAACAGCTGAAACTGAAATATTATTCTTCATAAAGTATCTTTCAAATCAGAAAACGGAAAAACAATATTGTATTGAAACTTAAAGAAACAGAATACTTGTCTCAAACTCTAATTTCTAAACATAACGCTGTAGACCTTTTGATATTTTAAACGATGAATTGTGCTAGGTCCTATAGTCAAAGTTTTACATATAATATTATTTACATATTATATTATTTATCTATTATATTATTTACATATTATATTATTCACATATTATATTATTTAAATATTATATTATTTATATATTATATTATTTACATATTATATTATTTACATATTATATTATTTACATATTATATTATTTACATATTATATTATTTACATATTATATTATTTAAATATTATATTATTTACATTTATTACTCAATAAATAGTCAATAGTTTCCAAAAATAGGATCGGTGCCTCGGTGGAAGAGGATCCGAATGGGAAAAGGTTCTCAGAAAGAAGAAGGGGAGGAGGAGGAGAAAGGTTTCATATTAGGAAGGGAAAAATGGAGCTAGGGGTAAGTGAGGAAATATTCATTTCATAAAAAGATTATTGTTATTATAAACCTTAGGCACAAAATTTACATTCTACCCCTGACTTGGTTGCCTGGTGTTCTGATATGTGATTGTGAGAAATATGACCACCATTAGATCTATTTGTCTGGTGTAGATGTGAAGAAGAATAGAAGTGTCTGGAGCTTAGAGTACTATATATCAATAGAGTAAGAACTTATCCTTGCGCCATTTACGAGAGAATCATGATGGATTGATATAAAATGATTAGCGACTGCGTGATCTCCTAGGGTCAAGTATGCCAGGCAAAGCTGGGTTCCGAAGCTAGAAATGATATAAGGGAAGATAAACGGTTCGGTTCTCCTTAAATAACATGACTGCATAGACGAAGTCCTTTTATTGACGACCTTTAACTGATTTCAACTATCCTTTTAACGCATAGATTCTCTTGTCGTATTCATAATAAAAAAATGAACGTTACATGCAAACAGCATTTTTTATTAAAAAAGATATACTGGTTATATAGATAAACATACTTTTTGTGACAAATTTCCTACTTCTCTCTCCTTTTATTTCATCGCTCCTCTATAAAAATTCACTTCTCTAAGAGTTACGCCGAGAAATCAGTTTAATAAATCCTTGTCACCAACATAAACTTCAAGATTGACCACGATATATATTTAGTTTATGTGGAGTAGATTTTAATCAACACCACATGTAAGTCATCTATCTACAAATAGCAATATCTAGAATTTCAAGTTTCGACTTTTAGTTGGTTAAATTATATCTTACAGATGTCAAAAAAACATACGGGCCTTCTGGCGACTCATGTTTATTTAAAATCCCAATTCATTTCGAATATGTTTGCATATATTTTTGTGCACAAGATTATTTAAATAGATACAGAATTCAGAAAACTTAGAATTATTGTCGTCTTCAATTTCATTTAATTGATAATTTTTTGGAAAAATTTTAAAACCGTTTATTGTTAATGCTGATAAACTTTGGAAAAGATTAAGGGCGCATTTAAATAAAATCCTTTCGAATTATTTAGTCTTTTGCATAATTTTATGATCAAATGAACTAATTCATTGTTTGAGAATAGTTAATCTTGTTTTTACCTACCCTATTTACCTATAAATATCTAACTTGTAAAAATCAACTAATAATAATTAATGTTTGAGTGTATTTACATATAGTGTTGTTTGCTAACATTCATTAAATACGAGTGGAGTGCAGGCAGCTAGCGTAATGCTGATAGTTTCTAAATAAAACATGATTTGTGAAAACGATGTATAGAAATAAGAAAATAAAAATTATAAAAACTAAATATTCTGCTCCAAATACTTAAGGAAAATGTGAAAAAAATATAGTTTTTACTTGTGTAGACTGTATGTGTGTTTGTAGAGGTCAGGATAGCTGAGAACGTGATTGTTTTGTAATACCAAACATTTCTTTCTCGTCGATCTACTGACTTCAACTCATTCATCCCTGGTTCAACCAATTCTTCATGTCTTAATAAAGTTTTCTGTCAAAATATATAGGAATACAAATTCAAAAATAGTTTAAAGGGACTGTAGACCTTACAGTAAAGTTTAAAGGGACTGTAGATCCTAAAGTAAAGTTTAAAAGGGACTGTAGATCCTACAGTAAAGTTTAAAGGAACTGTAGACCCTACAGTAAAGTTTAAAGGGACTGTAGACCCTACAGTAAAGTTCAAAGGAACTCTAGACCCTACAATAAAGTTTAAAGGGACTGTAGACCCTACAGTAAAGTTTAAAGGGACTGTAGACCCTAAAGTAAAGTTTAAAGGAACTGTAGACCCTACAGTAAAGTTTAAAGGGATTGTAAACCTACAGTAAAGTTTAAAGGGACTGTAGACCCTACAGTAAAGTTTAAAGGGACTGTAGATCCTACAGTAAATTTTAAAGGGACTTTAGACCCTACAGTAAAGTTTAAAAGGGACTGTAGACTCAACAGTAAAGTTTAAAGGGACTGTAGATTCTACAGTAAAGTTTAAAGGGACTGTAGAACCTACAGTAAAGTTTAAAGGGACTGTAGACCCTACAGTAAAGTTTAAAGGGACTGTAGACTGTAGGGTTAGGTTTAAGTTTATCACCTTGAAACTCTAGAAGGTTGAATCTGGTTATAATTAGTTTTAAAATTTGTACTTTCTTCTTCTTCTATTAATCCGGAAAATCTTTTCCGTCTCCCGGAACATAAAGTAGTTCTAAACCTGCCTCCTGCGGGACCGTACTTTTGATGCCTTAAAAATGACATTATAAACTTAAATATTCAGGGGCGTATACAACAATGGGGGCTAAACCCCTCCCCCTGGAAATATTAAAATAATTATCTTCGGGGAGATTCAGTCCCTACCCCCCCCCCCCCCTGGAATGTCAAAAAGCATACCAACGGACAAAACCCCATTAATCATTCATTGCATTACTGCTTGGTGCGTTTATAGAGTGATCAAGTTTCATAGAGAGTTTTACCAGAAAAAGATAGACCCAAAATATTATAATGTGTCCGATATGATGCATCAGAGTTTTGTTTTTGATTTAAGTATCCATGAGTTATTTCGAGTTATACATATAAATATCGTTAATACATAATCTCTGAAATCTCTGAATCTAAAAATATGAATAATTACAGTAATACTGAAAATTATGAAATGAATCATATCAATCATGAGGTCAAGCTTTAGTATTTTTAGTTGATACCAGGCTCCGTCGGTTCCCCTACTCCTTGGGTATTAATTTTAAGTCCTTTAAAGCTATTTTTTAAATTATTTTTAACTATCTAATGTTTAATTCCCGTATATCTCAGAAATTAAACTTAAATCCTGCAATTTAAAAGTTTTCACTAGTTCTGTCGATTAGGGAAAGTTTTGCACCGTGATCTTGCCAGGCTACATTTGTTGCATAAAACGTGCTGGGTCAACTTTACACTGGGCAGTCCAGACTGGACGGTACGACTGAATGCATTTACAGTTCATGTTGTAACGGCACGAATCATACAACTTTTAGAGTGGAGTGCGTAACATCCAATTCATAAGTTGTTGCCTTTCAGTCTTAAAGTTTGTGCTCAATAGGTTTACCATTTAAGGAGATTTTAAAGGAATTGAGTCTTTGCAACAAACTCTGATTTTCCAATACCTACTTCTTTGCAACTATTTCAATTACAATTCAACTATGAATTCTCTTCACTCAAATAATCTAAGTTTGAAATTTCAATGGAATACACCATCAGGTTGATAAGATATAGGAATAAGAAAATTTGATGTTGTGGCAAAGACTCAATTCCTGTATAACTCATATCACAATGATCTAGCAAGAAAGAGATGATTCATTTAGTCTACTGTCCCGTTTAAGCCGTCTATAATCTATACATAATCTCTTTTCTCTGTAATTTACAACTTGCCCTGACTTCCTTATAGTCAGTCTGAGCCGAAAATTTAAAAGAGTTTCGTTGAACAAAACTCCCGAGTTTTCTTTTTGGGGTCTCATACATTCCCGTAGATTTTAATTTTAGAAATCAAAAAACAAAAAGAGAATGTAAAAATCCACATGAAATAATATTTCTTAACAAAAATATTGGTATTTACAAAACTGCCTGACCCCATTCACGAAACTGGGTTTCATTTCGATACTCTGTCTTAAGTTTCGGGCTCTGGCACTTGTACGGGCAAAATATTAAAATAATCTATACTTACACATAGCAGGTGCTTTGTTGCTTTAACGTAATATCTGTTGTTGTGATAACAACCGTTGAAGTAGAAGATGTGAAGAATAATCTAGAATCTCGACTAAGATAAATATTTATTTATTTTGTAATATACTATTCTGTATTTCTGTAAATAAGTTTATGTTCATGAAATTACAAAGTTAAAGTATAATCTCAGTTTTTATTCTTCAATGGATAAAATTAGCAAAATTATGTAAAGAAGACATTATAACACTTTTAATTAATATTTATATCATTAAAAATCTACATTTGGATTTGGACCCCGTTGGTAAAAAAAGTGTTAAGCAGTTAGATTAAAGTAAACGTTAATGTCTAATTTCATTATAGTTCAGTTGAAATAAAGAAAGAAAAAATGCTGATTTTGAATCTGTATAACTGGCTGTAGAAATGACCATCTGTTTAAAAAGTGTATACCTGGTTGAAGCAACTACCTGCTGTTCTGGAAGTATACACCTGGCTAAAGCAACTACCTGCTAATCTGGAAGTATATACCTGGCTGAAGCAACTACATTCTTCAGTTCAGTTCTGAAAGTTTAAACCTGGCTGCAGCAACTTACCTGCTGTACTGAAAGTATATACCTGGTTGAAGCAACTACCTGCTGTTCTGAAAGTATATAACTGGCTGAAGCAACTACCTGCTGTACTGAAAGTATATACCTGGTTGAAGCAACTACCTACTGTTCTAAAAGTATATACCTGGTTGAAGCAACTACCTGCTGTTCTGAAAGTATATAACTGGCTGAAGCAACTACCTGCTGTACTGAAAGTATATACCTGGTTGAAGCAACTACCTACTGTTCTAAAAGTATATACCTGGCTGAAGCAACTATCTGCTGTTCTGAAAGTATATACCTGGATTGAAGCAACTTCCTACTTTCTGAAAGTATATACCTGGCTAAAGCAACTACCTGCTGTTCTGAAAGTATATACCTGGCTGAGGCAGCTAGTTACTGTTCTGAAAGTATATACCTGGCTAAAGCAACTGCCTGCTGTGGACATGAAACTTGGAAGAAAACCCAAAGAATGGGAAACATACCTTGTAAAATAAATTTCTTATTAAATATGTATTTAGTTTGAAAAGGTGAGAAAATCTTTCACCATTTATGTCAAGTAAACAGAGACATTTTTACCGTTTTGACTAATCATCACATAGCTACAAAAGATATCATGATGATAATATTAACACATTAAGTTCATGACGGTCTAATATTGCCGTTTACTCTTTATCTTAATCAAACCCTTGATTGCCTCTAACTCTATTTTTCAATTTCCAATGAACTCTAGAACAGGAAAACAATGTTTGATACGTATTTGATGTTGGTATGAAGAAAATAGTTTTACTGTAGCTAGAAAATCAACTGTGATCTTGTCAGGATACATTTGTTTTATAAACGTGCATGGGTCGACTCTACACTGGGTAGTCCAGACTAGATAAGACGACTGAATTTTATATTCAGTACAATTGTTGTGTTTTATATTTATTGAACTATTTAAACTTGAGTCTGAAAGTCGTCTTCTATTCCAAGTGTTTTTGGGATAAATTGTTTATCTTTGCATCCTGATGTTGTAAACTTTGATACTTCAAACTATAAATTTTGCTAGATCATATCGTCAAAGTATACACCATCAGGTTTTTAGTTCCTTTATTCTATTATATTACTGAAATAATGGGATTGTTGTTGTAATTTTAAATAACACTTTATTTTAAGAGGGGTATGTCGATTCACAATGGTACCCTTTGAACTTTGTTCTGGTCCATAATTTACACAGTACCAGATAATATTGTTTTTCCTTCCTAGAAAATGTTTAAATCTTACAACTGAATCTAATTGTTTTGTTTAAAGAAACCCACAAATAACTTTTATAGAGAACCCGTCATGGAAAAAAAATATCAATAGTCCCTTTAATCCCGATAAACCTACTTTAAAAAAATGTGGTAAAAGCGAACTGTACGATGCCAGTAAACAAGGATAACTGAGTACAAATCTAAGTTTTCTAAATTCTAAGAATGAAAGTGAAATTGGTTTTTACGAGAATATCTGGCCTCAAATACTTTTAATATCCTTCTTCTGCACTGCAAACTCATCATTCTTCATATTGATTCTTGTAAATAATTAAAGGGAGCCTTCTTGAAAATGAAAATGGTATACTTTTTATTTTTATTTCTATCCTATGTTCCTGTCAGCAGAAATTGATTTAAACCGGTTTATATGCTATTAAGCTTTAGTTAAACTTTAAACTCACTGTATATCATAGGCACTAAATTAAATCAATAGTTTATCATAAATCATCATAGACACTAAATTGAATCAATAGTTTATCATATATCATCATAACCATGATGAAAGTGGGGTAAACTTTCTATTATTATAGATGCTATAGAGTCATAGATTTAATTCAGTATTTATTATATAATTTTAGTTAATAACTTTATTTACGTTTTTTATCTTACATAGTATATTTTTCTAGTCTTTTAAGCAATTTAAATACAGGCTAGATAAAAAGTTCTACAGAGGTTGATTGGGATCAAGGTCGTATACAGAAATTTGTCTGGGAGGGGGCTTAACAATTTTCTTTCCAGGGTGGGGGGGCGTTACACACTGTTTGTGGCCGGAAAACCCCTGGGAATTATAACATTCATNATCTCCCTCCTGTATGCGCCTCTGATTCGGATTCATTGTTTTAAATATTTTACATGAACAAACCTCGGAATCAAAAAAGATCTGATAATCTGATAATCTAATTGTGAAATAAATGTAGGTTAGATAATTCAATGCGTGCACTCCCTTTAAAAACTCTTCAGTTGACTCTCTAACCACAGGTTCATTTCCCTTACAGATCTCGTGAAGCAAGGATTACAAGTGAGTACGTTATTACAAGATAGGAAAGCCTATGATGGTCTTCATTGCATCTGTATTTTAATAGTATCATATATTTCCGTAGAACTTTGAAAACTATTTGAAAAAAAAATTCGATCAAAAACATTTCAATTTTTTAGCCTTTGTTACCCTGGGGGTACTCATGGGATCCCTTAAAAAAATTCAGCCAATTTATTCCAACTCACGTGGATTTAACGGTTCTGTCAATATTCCAGAAATTTGACAATTTGACCTATTAAACATAATCTGTAAGCCTTTTTCCTTTTTTACCTTTTTGCCAGCATATGCATTTTGAATGAAAATGTATAGAATAAACAAATCCGTAAAGTAAAAGATTGTTGAATTATAGACCAAAACACGTTTGATTTTAAATAGAAGAAACCGAATGTTGCTCACTCTGGTTAGTCCGGGGTGAACTGTTTGGCCAGCCATAGCTAACATATATATATTTGCAGAGTAAAAAGCTTTATAATAATAATTGACTTTTTTCTGTGACTAAAATATTTGTTTGCTGCAGTTTCATAGTAGATTTCTTTTTTAAACTTAATTTTCAAGGTACAGTGGCACCCATAAAACTGTTTAATGGGAAGAAGACGGTGTCTTTGATGTTGTCAAGTTATGGCCATGGGACAGTTTATACTGAGCTGAAAACTTTAGAATGAGATATCCTTAATCCTGATCGCTTAATCTGATTTTATTCTTAATCCTCTTTTTTGGATATCCCTACTGTATAAAAGTTACATTTGATAACAATTAAAGATTCAATACTATATCGATAGAACTAATATCCGATTGAATTAAAGTCAGCTGTTCACAAGCCGACTTTTAGAGCATTTAAGCAAATATTAATTTAATCATGTTATTATGAACTTATTAAAAAATATATTTTATCACATTTTAGGATCGACTATCATCATTTTAAACGAGTCTTAACAAACATTAATCCAAAACTTACATTTATTTAATCGATGTTTAGTTCAAATGATATGACACAATTAACACCAGAAAAAAAACGGTTTTTCAAAAGTTAAAGAGTACATCTTAACATGATACGCTGATTGGTTGAATTTATACTTCTTTCTTGGATACGGGATGCGTTTTAAAATAATCTCGGGTTTAGTAAAACCAGGTGTTTAAGCATGAATCTTGATAACCATCATTCTAAAGTTTTCAGCTTTCAGTTTTCAGTGCAATTTTCGTGTTTCATGTACATTGTACAGTGTACATATTTAGCATAATGACTTCAGTGTAACAAGCGTCTTCTTATTCCTAAGTTTTATGGTTACTACTGTATGCAAATGCTATTATTGTATTCGACCTTAGACCGAAAAAAAACACTTTTCTCTATTTTATACATATCTTTTTCTTAGCTTATTTGCTAAATCTGTGAAATCTGTGAAATCCGAGGAGTGTAGCGAATAGCTGAACATCACGCACCAGACACGCGGTTTAAACTTTGAAATATCGTTATACAGGGTGTCCCAATAAACATGGCAATTAAATGACAATTTCGATATCGTCGTTATAAATAATTCCTTGATTTAGTATAGTGATACCTACTGAGAAAGCTTAAAACCGTAAGATTTTCGTCTGCTATGTTTACAATTTGTTTGCTTATGTTTTGACTGCATACGGTTGTACTTAGTAAAACAAGAACATTACGGTGTAAAAACAGTGTAAACTTGGCCGTCTTCACAGTTTATCTTGCATTATAAACACATCTTCACAGCCATTTACCGTTTTCATAAAATAAACTCTAGCAGACATAATAATATTATGGCTCCTGAAATCAGGTATTACAATGCTGATCTTAACAAAGACGATCTCGAATTCGTCACTGAATTCCCATGTTTATTGGGACACTCTGTATAGTACAATAGTATAATTGATATTTTACGGGAGAAAAATCAAAATTGTATTTAGATTAGCTGAACAAGTAAGCCACGTGATATGTGTAAAAATTCTCATGAAAGCATGTTGGCAATACTTCTTATAGCTATACCAGATCAATACACTTCCGCTTATATGACACATTTTAGTTTTGTAGAAAAGAACACAATGCTGAAAATGTGGATAGAAAATCTGGTTCTGTTTGGTTTGATAACAATTTCTTTACAGGATAAGTAAGATTTTTTTAACAATATTTGAATTAATGCATTTTGTAAATCTTTACATACATATAATGTTTGTTTGTTTGTATCCAATAAACGGCTAAACCGATCCGGCCTAGCTGCATCTTACATGTCCCCGAGGAAGGTTTAAGGCCGGTCGAAATATAAAAAAAATATTTAAAAGCAACATTTGAAACCTAAAATACGAGAAGAAAGACCCATGTCTTTATATTCCCTAACTAAATTTGTTTAGAGATCTCCAACCACCGACTGTTGTAAGTGAATTAATAACTGTGAGTTCTGACATGACATGCCACATGTAAGTTTACAGTAATATTTTTAGTTCTGTTCAATATTAAGAAGTAGTAGAATTAAGAACTCGTTTTACATTAACAAACATTATATGGAAACATCGATTTCCCGGACCTAAAGTAAAATGTAAACAAAATTTCATTTCAGCATTCAATCTTCAAGGGAATTGAGTATTTGTTGCAAACTCTGATTTTCTAATCCCTATATGTCTGCAACTCAACGTCGTACACATTAGATATTTCATACTATAAATTCTGTCAGAACAAGTAAAAGGAGTTTGAAATATCAAAGATTTACACCATCATGTTACAAAGGTGTCAGTATTAGAAAATTTGAGTTTGTGGCAAAGACTCAATTTCTTTATGCATCTATCATTCTTTTCTTTCAGCACTTTTTTTGATAAAATCTTATTTTTTTCCGCATAAATAATAATATCTATTTATGTCATTAAAATGGGTATTATTAAATGCGAAAAAGTTTTTGCCGAGATTTTTATTTTTTTCTAGTTTGTTTAAGAACAAAATTAAAGTATTTTCACTCCGAACGTAGTGATGAGGTGTGAAAAGTTACTTGTTCGCCCTGTTGTAGGGCGATAAAGTTCCCTAATGACCCTACAACGAGAAATATTAGATGTGATAAATTCCTTCAAAATTGAATAAAAAAATAATATACTGGTGTGAATCATAAAAACATGTTTAAAGAAATAAACAATCAAAAAATGAAAAGATTTCTTTTTTAAATATTCATTCGGCCAAATTAAAACTTTTCTTCAGATCATAAAAATATAATTTTGCACCATGTAATTTAAAAAGAATGATAAAATTTGTATTTAAAAAAAATGCTTTTTTCAAAAATTGTAATTTTTAAAAAAAATTTAATTTTCTTTAATTCACGTGGCCCTTAAGCTAGTATTAAATAGATTAGGTTAATATTTTGTTCAGTGTAAGAAGTTTAACAGCGTATAGTTGGAGAAGAATACCTATTGTTGAATGCCTGGGACGGAAAAAAAGATCTGCTACAATTGAAGATTCTCCTAGAGATACCGATAACGGAGATATTCTTCCTTCAAAACCGTACAGGTATACATTACACCTAGCTATACACACTACACAGGTATACATTACACCTAGCTATACACAGGTATAAATTACACCTAGCTATACACAGGTATACATTACACCTAGCTATACACAGGTATACATTACACCTAGCTATACACAGGTATACATTACACCTAGCTATACACAGGTATACATTACACCTAGCTATACACAGGGTTTTTTCGAGCTAACCCTTCAAACCCGTAAAGGTATACATTACACCTAGCTATACACAGGTTTGTTTTCCAGCTAACCCTTCAAAACCGTACAGGTATACATTACACCTAGCAATACACAGGTTTGTTTTCGAGCTAACCCTTCAAAACAGTACAGGTATAAATTACACCTAGCTATACACAGGTTTGTTTTCGAGCTAACCCTTCAAAACCGTACAGGTATACATTACACCTAGCAATACACAGGTTTGTTTTCGAGCTAACCCTTCAATACCGTACAGGTATACATTACACCTAGCTATACACAGGTTTGTTTTCGAGCTAACCCTTCAGGATTTAAATAAAACAGAAAATATACTTATACTGAAAAATTCATTTGAACAATCAAATCATTTTCAGCAATTTTATGCATTTAGTGAAAACAATTCAGCTGATCTTGAATCTTCGATTGAACGACATCCAAGGTTTTCTCTTTATTACATGACAACACGTACTATAACGACATCAACATCAACATCAACATCAACACATTATACAGGTTAGGTGAATATCAAACAGTTCTTCAAAAATATTCTTTTAAAGTTTGTCTTCTGTTGATTATTCAAGCGTGGAACACCTTTTATACTACTAATTGAACTTTTGAAATGAGTGAAGTTTTGGTAGTTAGATTCCAAACATGTGCAACCCTTTTTTCTGAACAAAAAAAAAGATATCGTCGTTTTTCTATCTTAAAGTTAATCATTTTTGATTACGATTATTCTTAAAAACAACTTGCGGATGTGTGCAGCGAAACAAGGAAGGAAACTGACAAAAAAATAAGATCATGTAACTGTTTAAATTAAAGGTCACTTGTGTTGTGAACAGTGTGTTAAATTATTTCTATTTATTAGGAACAGTAACTCTGGAGTTAGGAATATGTACTCCTGCTAAATATGTAGCTTGTGGACGCTAATATACAGTTTATTTATATTTTACATTAATTTGTTGTTTATTTTGATTTTTTTACTCCAGAAGTGAAAAATAAAAAGAATAGTTTGAAATACATGCCTTAAGCTTAAAGGTTGGTATACATTTTATACTCCCTTTAATTCCTACCGAATACTGAACAATAAAAATAAAAATATCAGAATTTATTTGATACCTATAAATAGTTTATAGATTCTTTGCATTAGACTGAAATTATGACCCCCGGAAATATCCGTCCTCGTAGTTTATGTAGAAATAATAAAAACGTAATTTAGCGTCTTAAAGGTATGGAAAGAATCCTGATATTTTATTCTATAATACTCCACTCCCAGTTCAATATAACATACCTAGCTTAGAGGGTACTCTAAAATGATTGCATGTTGTTGCAGTCCATTTCAAAATTTTATACTTAGACTTTATTTGAACAATTGTATGCTTTTCATATACTCTTCATCCTCTACAAGATGTACACATACATATATTGAAAAAGTTGTATAAAGGTGAACCTAGTTTCTGGTCTATTGACATCTCACCAATATCCAATAGAAATATCTCAACATCAAGCATACACATATAGTTTACTACTCTGCTTAGACAACTAATGTTTACATCCCTAGTTTATTTTCCAGGTCTATAGACTCTAGCTGGGATCAAGCTTGGTTTCATAATCCCAGCAATCATTAGCTTTTTATTTGCAGATGAGATATTAAAAAAATTATATTTCTTTGTAATGTAAAGGGTGTTTCTAAAAAAACACAAATGCAAATTTTTATTTATTGGGGCTAAAACAGTAAATTCAAAGATTAAAAATTTACCAATCTAAAGGTTTGTATATGACCTTTATGTTTGTATATCACTCATTAGTCTCTTATTTCGAGCTGACTCCCATTTTTATCTAAAACGAACCAGAGTTGACATGGAATACAAGCCAGTAATGTTCTTATCATTAAATACTTTCTTAAGGCTGCCATGTCCTTAAGAATACTCTGAAAGTTCTTAAAGAGCCAAACATTTGCCATTTTGGTGGTTTGAAAACCGTATTTCAGCAAGGAGTTAAAATCTCTTTTTCAGTATTTCAGGAGATTTCAGCTCCTTAAAACAGCTGCTCCATCATCCTAGGGTACTATTTCAATCTCAGATTTTTCACCTGTATTTTTTTGTGTCCATTACTTAAATTGTTTCTTTATTTAAGATTTTGTTAAATGTATGCCACAATTTAATTGAAAATATATACTCACAGCCTTCATACTCATGCGCCTTGAACTATTGATTTTCAAATTTTCCACACAACTAATCTTTCTTTTTGAAGTTATTGGTTTTTATTACCCTTCAGATCGTCAAAATAAAAAACTTTCCATGCGATTTTCATTTTTTTGTATTAAAGGAATTGAGTCTTTGCCACAAACTCTGATTTTTAAATCCTTATATCTTAACAACCCAATATTGGGATTTGTTACAAAGACTCAATTCTCAATTCCTTTGACAAATAAAGCTTAAGATGTTAATTGTTATTAACATATATTGGGTTTTTGCCATCTTCTATCTGATTTTGTTAGTTAACTTTGAGATTTCCCATCTTGTGTGGTTTTTTTTAGAAACTGCACCCTTTATTTTATTTTAAAAACAGTAAAAAAATATTTACGTTAACAAAGAAACCATTGATTAAAGATAACATTTTTAACAAAAGTTAGCACTGTAAACTTGTATTCAAGCTAGTAAATCATGGTGGCTTAACCATTGATATCGAAGTAAGAGAAGAAAACTCCTAATTGTTGTATTCCAGGCTCAACCTGAAGGAAACCCAACTTTATTTAAATTCTAAAAATATAAATGTACAGTTTTTTACTTATGTATTTATGGCGCTATGGTCATTTTTGCTAGAGCTCATTTTTCATTATTTAATAAATTTTTTTTTAACACTTTTTTGCTTTAAAAGAACGCCATTTTATTTAAAGTATTTTTATTAGTAGTAATTTGACCCCATTTAACTTTTGAGCAGTCTTTTCTTATATATTCTTATAGAAATAGGAAAAGGGTTTCTGCAGAAAGGAATTCTAAGAGTTTTCAAAAATCTATGCATTTATTTCACGGCCTGCATTTATGGATCATTTATAAATATGCAAGGAAGGATTTATGATTTGTCATATCTATAACGGATTATCTAAAGAAAGATTTTTTTTAAATACAACGCAATGATTTGTATAATTTCCCCCCTATTTATCAAAAAACTTGCCTAAAGGTGGCATAAAGGAATGAATGAATTATTTTAGATCAAATAATCTAAGTTTTAAATATCAAAGGTTTACACTACCAGAGCTGAAAACTTTAGAATGGTGGATATCGAGATTAATGCGTGATCCTCTCTTTCTCTTAATATCGAGACTAATCTAATCATGTTCTTGTATCCGGAAAAGTGTATAAAATTCAAACAATCAGAGTCGCTTATATGAAGCCGATAAATTTTAAATCTTGCCCGCCATCTAAGATTATATACAGAAGTGGGAGGAACTCTCAAATTTAGAAAAATCGGTTTTTGATTTTTCTCCACTATATCCAAAAAAGAACTGTTTAAGAAGAAAATCAAAAGTTTGTCCATTGGATACAAAGATTAAATAATCGGGATTAAGGATATCTCATTCTAAGGTTTTCAGCTCGATTGGAAATGCAGGGACTTTAAAATTTGAGTTTGTGAGAAATACACAGCTCCTTTGATGATTTTGAAAGAAGAATATAAAGAAAGGAATTGAGTCTTTGACACAAACTCTGATTTTCTAATTCCTATCTCTCTGCAACACAATGTCGTAGACCTTAGATATTTGAAACTATGAATTCTGTTACCTCAAATTATCTTAGTTTAAAATATCAAAAGTCAACAACATCAGGTTCCATAGATATAGGGATTAGAAAATTTGAGTTTGTGGCAAAGACTCAATTCTTTTATCTTTCTATACATTGGCAGTGTACTAAAGATTGGAAAATAAGATCAAGATCAAAAAGTTTGTTAATCTAAATAATTCGAGACAGACAAAATGATAATAAGTGCAATATGGTGAGAACTATGAAATTGTGGAATTAGAAGACGCCATTAAAACCATAATTATGTGTTACAAAGTAAACAGTTAAACTAGTACCTCATTAAATCACTTATTAAGTGAATGTGTATGTTTACACTGCACAACTAGTTAAAGTCAAAACGTTGGTCTAAAAGTCATTTTCCTTGTAAAAGTTTTATGGTTCTCACTGTAATTGTGGTCTTTTTTGATAGTGGTTGCGTAAAAAAAAGGTTGTAGATTTTTCAGATTTAAAAAAGTTGGATTTCCTTAATTAGTCCCGTCATTGCAGCAGATACTGCACTTTTCTCCTAAACAAAACATACTTATTTTGATTTATCACACATAACCAATTAAGATTTAGAAAAATCAAAAAGAGTAATTCAGATTTCTCTCATAAGTAATAATTTCCTATTCCTGTTACCGTTTCAACTTAATTTTAAAGAATTTGATATTTTAAACTATGAGACGCTAGATTAAATATCAAAGGTTTAAACCAAGATATAGAGATTTGAAAAATATTTGAATTTTGGACCACAGTTGAACTTCACTAAAATGTTACGATGTAAATCTTTATCAAATCACTGGCCTACGATTTTTATATAATTAATTCCAACCTTGGCCATAATCTCTTTCCACGTGTTTTCTGTAGTTGTTACTTTAATATCAACATTTTCCTCTCCATCAGTAATGCTTCCCTCTTTCACCAAGGCTATTCCACGTCGAATACAAACATATATTCTCTTTCCACTATCTAATTTATTTATATATGCTCTTTACAAGATCTATGTATATATTTACGTTATGCGTAGATATTTACTAGGCTAGAAGGACGCTCTTTTTCTAGTCACAATTCTAGTTTTGAAATCTTGTCTTCAAGCCGGGATTGTTTTTTCCTACATCATAAAACTAAAATTTAGCGGCCTTTCTGTTTTTTTTTGATTAATTTAAAAACAAAATTTATATTTATAGAACAAATTATTTTTAAGTTTTAAAGTGATCATGTGAGTTACCACAAATTAGGTTCGGCGTAGAATTTACGCAAGAAAAATTACCATAAAAGGTTAAATTATTGCAAAAGATATTCAAAGCAATAAATTATTGATGATATTGTGTTATATGAGCATATTCTCCTGTGAAGTTAAAGCCGGTGTTTAAGTTGACCTGTTCAGTAGCTGAACTATCCAACATGCAGGTCAACATTTGGAATAAACTTAGAACACTGCCGCGTTTAATTCTCTGTGCTTTAGATCTAAATAAGGTTTGTACCAATTATCTTGTTAACAGGGGCCGGGGCCGCAATAAATAATTGAAAGAAGGAAAAAAATCCGATATATTTTTGAACTGTTATTGTGCAGCATAGCTGAAAAAAATGAAAAAAAAATGAAATGTATCCAAATAATTTACTTTTTAGATGGAATAATATCGAGTCCCTGCATCACCATATCTTCAGTTAGGTACCAGTTCATACCTTAAAAATAACGTTTAAAGGTTTTTTTTTGAATACATACACATTTTCAAAAATCTCAACAATAAGAAAAAATTTGTCTTAAGCCCAAACTTTCCTGAATTACATTAACATTTTGTAGAGATAAATCATCTTTAAAAGTTATAATATCTATCTATCTAACTACCTGGAGCTGATATCTCCCTGGTTGAAAGTATTAATAGTGCACGACTCCGAATTTTTTTGGCACTCTTGATATCCTTGATAAAAAAACATGTTTAAATATTGGATGAAACAGAGCTTGTAGCTATTAATGATTTATATAGTGACAGAGCATGAATTTAAATCTGCAAAACTAATCACTAATAATTTTAATTTATTTCTTTGAAAAACACGTTATGGGGTAGATGGGGTTTTATGATATGATAAAAAATATTTTTGCTTGCAAAATCAAAAAACGAGGTTAGGGAACAAGGTTTTTCCCAGTCGTATCAAATGTTCATGAATCTGTTCAAAATAATAACTTGGAACCAACAATCGTCTTCCTATTCTAAAGTTTACTGGTGTCCACTGTTTTTGTACCTCTGGTTCTGCTTGTCCAGCATCTAGAACAAGATCAGCTAGTTGTAGAGCCCACTGAGCGTTATCATCTTTCAAAGCCTTTTCTCCAGCTTCCAACACTCTAACCAATATATGAAGTTTTTACGTCTGGTTAAATCAAGTTTACTTCAAAACAAGACAGAGAAATTGAGACAAACGATATTTGTTGAGAGATTAAGAAATACAGGTGTAAAGAGGTAGAAAGATCAAAATTAAAGATTTAGTCGATGTAGAAAGGTAGATAGATAGAAATAAAGGTAAAGAGATAAAGATATAGAGGTCAAGCGATATAGATGTAGAGAGGTATAAAGATCAAGATGTAGAAAGGTAGATCAATACAGATGTTGTAGAAAAGTATACAGAAAGAAATTTGGAGAGATTGAGTCATATAAACATAGAGAACGACAAAAAGACGCTAAGAGATGTACAAAGAGTTCACCTGGCTGTATGTGACGCGTACTTGTGTAGTGTCACATGTGTAGGGGTTTATACAGGAATGTTTCCAAGGACCTCCCCCCGACCCCCCCCCCCCTAGCTGTATACACCCATCTACCTGTATACTCCACCTGCAAGGTCTAGGTATAGAGATGCCTCCTCTATCCTGGGTAGAGGATGCAGGTCAGCTGGCCTCCCTGAAAGTTTATTTTTAATTTTCAGTAATGATTCTAATTTAAAAATATTTGTTTATAACCTGAAAACCATCCCATATACCCATGGTACACCGCTTTTACAGACCATTCTACGGTTCCGTAATATTCTAAAATATACATATATAGGTGTTATTAGATAGATATTACTCCTTACAGTTTAGATTAGGCACAAACAGAAATTCACCATCTATTGAGTCATCCCCGGCCTTAGAGTCTTTCCTTGGCACATTTAATTGGTTTGACCTTTCCGTCCGTTTTTTTACTTTTTTATAGTTCGATGTCTTACACGAATAGAGCGAGTAGAAATCGTAGATCTTTAATAGATGTATTTTGATACATAGATCTCTTAAACGAATAGAGAGAGTAGAAATCGTAGATCTTTAATAGATGTATTTTGATAAATAGATTGAAATCCACACAATGTTTAATAGGAAGTTAATCTACCCACGCGTCTGTTATATATTTTATCAGTTGTCTCATATAGTTTGTTTCTAATACAAAGAGCTTGGTGGGGTTTACCTATAAGATATGGATGATTGATTAGGTGAGGTGGTAGTTTTACAATCTGTGCAATTTCGTTTCCGTTGAAACCCTTATTCATAAATCTAAAAATTCAAACATACATTTACATATTGTCTTATGTCTGGTCATAAACTGTAATTATATTCTTACCTAACTATATCTGGTCGTAAACTATAATCATAATCATGTAGACATTTACATATTGTCTTATGTCTTGTCATAAACTATAACTATATTCTTACCTAACTATATCTGATCGTAAACTATAATCATAATATAACCTAACTATGTCTGGCCATGAACTATAATCTAACCTAACTGTGTCTGATCATGAACTAAATCTAACCTAACTGTGTCTGGTCATGAACTATAATCTAACCTAACTGTCTGATCATGAACTATAATCTATCCTAACTGTGTCTGGTCATGAACTATAATCTAACCTAACTGTCTGATCATGAACTATAATCTATCCTAACTATGTCTGGTCATGAACTATAATCTAACCTAACTGTGTCTGGTCATGAACTATAATCTAACCTAACTGTTTGATCATGAAATATATTCTAACCTAACTGTTTGATCATAAACTGTAATCTAACCTAACTGTTTGATCATGAACGAACTGTATTGCATCTCTATAAGCTGTGATGGTTTGAAGTACTTCAGACCGTCCATGCAAGGGCCTAGATTTAGATTAATTTCAATTTTGGATTTTTAAAAATTTCTTGATTAAAGGGACTGTCGACGTAATTTCAAGAGAGGTAAACGACGATGTATTCTTTGTAGAAACAGAGTTTCAAATCGCATCGTTTTGAACCTACATATTAACTATAAAAATGATTGGTGACTTGAAGTTACGCCGATAGTCACGTTAAAAATATCCAGAATAAAACTGTATAAACCTTGTATGCTGTGGAACTAAAATGTCTGGTTCTAGTTGGATCATCAAGTCCAGTGCTTCAACCCACTAGAAAATATTATTAAACTTATAATTCTAGTTCAAGGAACCAGATTTAATAAATAGCGAGAAGCAGATGAACTGTGCCGACGTATAGTTCAACCAATTCTTTTGTGTGCCAGTTTTAGCTAAAGATAAGTGGCTCAACCCTGTCTTCTTGGTTCAACCATGTCTCGCATTAATTAAATCTTGTCCCAAGTTAACCATACAGAACGAGACTACAATGACGACCCAAATTATTAAGATTTAATTAAGAAAATGAAGTGTAAAGCAAACTAAGAATTTAAGTAAGAAGACTAAATCAAATTATGATGTCAATTCAGTTTCATCCTTTTCGGGTACCTCCGTTTCTTAAACTGAATATATTTACTATAAAAGTAAAGTTTGAATGATAAGGAATTTTTTAAAATCATTTACTATTTAACTGTGTGTATTCATAAAATGTTTGTTAAGCTTTTACAATTTTTCTCTATAAACCAAGGTTCTTGTAAAGGTACCTGAAGTGTATCTCTATGCATAGTTCCTCGTATCGCGTAAAGGTTCGGAAACGCTTTAAAAAAATCAATGTTAATTTTTGTTCTTCAATAAATCTTCCCATGCATACATTTTTGATTTTATGTCATTTAACAAGTTGACAATATTTTCATTTCGAATTTTTGATTGATCGTTTCATGGGAATCGTGTTTGGTAAGATCTGTGAAAAGTTCTATAAATATAATTTTAAAGAATTGGTGGACAAAAGAACAAGTACTTACTCGAATTTTCTAATCCCTATACCTTTGCAATCTGATATCGTAGAGTTTTGATCTATACTATGAATTATGTTATATCAAATTGCCTAAGTTTAACAAGTTTTATATTCCTATCTTTAAACAAAAATGTTGATGTTCTAAGACGACATTACAAACTGCTCTGATGTTCTAAGACGACATTACAAACTGCTCCTTTTTGAGTATTTTCTTCAATGTTTGGATTTGGCAAGAAGAAAAATCAGGATTATCTTATTTGTTTTGAATTAATTTATATACAGTGAAACCCTTAATAACGAATACATCGAAAGAATTCATCAAATGTCGTATTCTTCACTTTCTGATAATGAAATGTTGCAGATATTTAGTTTTTTAATTAAATGATTATATGGAAATCTTTAAAACTGTTCCTGCATATTCATGTCATTTATTTATTTTTGCAAATACTGAAATTTACGTAATATAGTAAAAAACTCATTGAAAAATTGTCAAGACGACATTTGATATTAAGGGTTTCACTGTATAAGGTCAGTGCTCACCTTTGTATATATTATCCGCGGGAAATAAAATCTTCTCTGTCTTATACCAAACTAATTTTTTTGTTATTTCAAATATTAATGTAAAATATTAAAAACATCATGAATTTTCAATAATGTGTTAAACATGTATTAAAACAAATGTTTACCAATAATCTGATCATTTGTTTCCCCAGGAGCGTGTATCAACTCCAGTTCAATACCAGCTGATAACAAAATCAATTAGAATATAAATTTAGTTTCACACGTCCATTAGCGTCTGATCCAATTAAGGTTCACTCACGTGCTTGTTGAGTACTCAGGACCAATTGAATTGCAAAGACGGCAAGATCTATCTATCTATCAGTCTATTTAATCTTATAATCCAATCAAAGATCCATATGTAAATTAGCGGTATAAACGACTATAATGGAATTGTTTACTTAAATCGAAACTACATTTTAATCGTAATTTTAAGTATGACCCATATTTGAAGAGCTTTACACGCCTGGTTTACAACAATACCCTTAGCCCTTGATCGAATTAACAATAAGAAAAATATCCTCGTTTTCTGTCCGGAACAAATTCAAATTCTCTTAATTTTCTGCTTTTGCATAAATCTACAAGTCACTTTTATAGCTTTTATAGCTTTTATAGCTTTTATAGCTTTTATTATAATTGAAAATAATAAATGTTCGGATAAAAATATTTAACGGGTACCATTCACGTGGATTTAACGGTTTTGAAAATATTTCAGAAAACTGTGACTTTCGATCACAATTTGACCCCTTTTACATAATTTTATAGCCTGTTATTTTAAATACTTTTTTGTTGGCATATACATTTTGAATGCAAAAGTATAAAATAAACAAATCTCTAAGTCTAAAGAATGCTGAGTTATAGACGAAAACACGTTTGATTTCAAATAAAAGAAACCAAATGCTTCTCTCTCTCGTTAGTTCAGGGTACATTGCGAGTCAGACATCCCACTTTATCATTTATAAAGTGGGATGTCCGATTCGCGACGAATCTCTTAAAACATTTTTCTATCTCTTGAACTGCAATCCCTTTAAATACAGTGTGATTACGATAGCAACGATGATATCAAAGTCTCACAGACAAACTTAACTACAGTTGTCGGAGATTTTATCAATACCATCACGACGAATTTTTTATTTCAGTTTACAAGATTTTTTCTAAATACATTTTTTAATCAAACATAAGCTTTTTAAATTGACAGCATTCTGTTTAAAAGCTTGATATCAATTCAAATTCAAATCGAAAGTCGTCTTGATTGTATTGATATATGCAACGACGGCTATATTAAAAACTAGAATAAAATATTACCTAGCTCAACAATAAGTTTGTCTGAGAATGTTTTTGTTGGGAAAATGTATGATGTTGTTGTCGATCCGTCCAATCTAAATTCAAAATATAATGGATACACACAACAACGATTAGAGCAAAGCATACCGGGCTCGCTACCCCGGATATAATTTTATCATTTATCAAATCCATCTAAAAATGACCAATGCACCATGAGTACTTTATTCTCAACTTTAACAAAAAATTTTAAACTTTTTTTAATCTACATAGTTATTATCTCCGTATCGAGATTATTTTAAATATACAAAATTGTTTATATTATTTTTACAACAAAGGTTGTACGATGATAGCGTGATAGTACATTTACATTCTTTGTATTTTAGTTTAGAAAATCCTTTAATTTGCGGATACATTTTTTTCAAACAGTTACATTAAAATTTGTTTCATTGGAGAAAAAATCCTTTTTCAAGTATTTTGGACTATGAAGTTAAAACGAGTTACAGTATTGCTGAGAATAGAGTCCCCTTTTTTACAGGTTTGCTTAAATGAATTTAAAAGAAAAACATTATACAATATACATGTCAAATGTTAAACTAAATATACAAAAAACTGCAAGTTATAATGGTATTCAATTTGTTATTCATACAAAACTTTGATTTTGAACATCTAACAATATTTCACTTAAAGATAGAACTGACAAACAAGTTGTATTGATATCTGATTAAGTTTCACACTTTGACATAACAAGGTTTCCTAGCTGTCATGTCCCTGGGAATAAAGAGAAGAATTCGAAATCGTCTCTGTTACGAATTAGCGTTGTACTACCTAATGTTTATGATAAAAATAAAGTTTCATCTGCTAGAGAATATTTTATAAAAAACAGTATAAGATTGTTTTGTTTTTCTACAAAACGTTGGTTGATATTCTGTAGCCATTCTACCAGAAGAGGACCAAGCCCGTATTTGTTTACGGGGTTGTATCAAAGCATTCTAACTCTAGAAGACGAATCACAGAAGTTCTAGTAATTATTACCATACTAAATCAATAAATAATTTTCAAAGACGACATCAAAATCGTCATTCAATTCCCATGTTTATTGGGACACCACGTCCTGCATACCTTAAGCTGATTCCTATCCCAGCATTTTCTTTTACTTCTTCAGGTATTTCTAAACACATTTTTTTTCAACTATACTTACCGCCCGAATATACACGCTGAGTATATTATAAAAGATGTTTAAATATACAATATCATAATACGATGCTTTTAAGGACACAGCAAACAAGGTTTTAAATAATCTTTAGACAAAAACTTGCTTTATCATATGGTCAATTTAATATAGTTTTAATATTTACAATCGGTCAATCTCCTGAAAAAATACACAGATAAATTACATTAAACTAAGCTGGGGAAGGTCAAATTGACCTATGATAGGCCGGGTACTGTAAAGTCTGACCGTGCCATCAAAGTTAAACCCGAGCCGGCATTAGACAGGGTCGCACGTCACTAAGGGCGGTACAAGGGGTCGGTCCGGCTCGAATTAAAATTGACCGTGTAAAAACGTATAACGGCATAACAACGACCTTATTTTCTTGACGTTGAAGCTCTCTTTGAATAATTAAAGCTGACCTGTCCCAAATTGCCTCACAGCTCTTTTAAACGTTATTTGGCTCCGGACATCCATTACCTAAAATTTTGGAAGAATTTAGAAGGTGTGCACTGTGCACTGTGCATGAAACATTAGTCTGTACTTTTAATTGACCTTGGAGGTTATTTTTCTTTACCTGACTAAAATATTTTGGAAATGAATCATGTGCGTAGATGGGAACTTCTTCTACTCCTTCAGTAAACACCTCTGTACCAGATGCATGGTCAGCATGAAAATGTGTCAGGATAATTCCAACTACAATGGTGGAAAATGCGTCAGGATATTTCCAAATACAATAGTAGAAAATGCGTCAGGATAATTCCAAATACAATAGTTGAAAATGCGTCAGGATGATTCAAACTACTATAGTGGAAAATGCGTCAAGATAATTCCAAATACAATATTGGAAAATGCGTCAGGATAATACCTGCTACAATAGAAAAATTACGTCAAGATAATACCAACTACAACAATTGAAAATGCGTCAGCATGAAAACAATACAATAGTAAAAATGCTTCAGGATAATACCAGCTACAATAGTGTAAATTCGTCAAAAGGGGAAACTCAGAATATTTCCTATTTATTGTCACACTAAAAGAAATCATCATTTGAATTCGCAAATTTAGACAATTTTTAAACTTGGAAAAATATCGTTTAAAAAATTTGACACTATTTAATATAAAGATATAAAAAAATGACAGTTTTTACCAAATTTTTTAATTTACATCTCAACCAATCAGATTGATTTTAACCTAAAGGGAGAGAACAAAACGGAGGAGTGGTTGAGCTGAGAGTTTAATAGAATAGGATATTATTGTTAACCCAAATTCGAAATAAAAGGAAGACGACATTCTGTGTTGTATATATATGCAGCCGTACTGTCTATAAACCCATAAATCCGTTTCCTACATGCAGTACTCCACATGTCACCCTCGTTTTCCCGGCTTCCCCAGCCTCTCTACACCTCCCGGTATTCAGTCAGCGAAGAACACTGGAGATGATAACAACTCCGTCTCAGGGAGCAATCCTGGCTCCTTCATAGTGATGATGCAGATACCTATCTACCAACAGACGATGCTTACATTCAGCTCAACATTGTTCCAAGAGTTCCAAAATTATCAGGCGAACATTGAGATGCATTCCCTCATATTCGAAACTAATAAAACAGCGATCTCTCACCCTGTTCCAAGGGTTCTAATTCTCCTCTACAAGAGGATACTCACCCTGTTCCAAGGGTTCTAACTCTCCTCTACAAGAGGATACTCACCCTGTTCCAAGGGTTCTAACTCTCCTCCACCAGAGGATAATCTCAACTCTAATGAGTTTAATAACCTGGAGAGAGCAGAAACCTGTTGTTCCAGTTCTAGTTGATCTGCACCACCAATATGAAGTTATACACTACCAATATGAAGTTGCTACTGATGTTTGTCAATTTATAATCCTTTGTTCAATTTCAATCAACCAATTTTAACTTCGCCATTTGTGCAAATATTTCAAAACAATATTATTTTTCTTAAATAAATGTTATAGACTATTTGGGTTTTTTTCTGATTTCTTTATTTGTATATTTTCTGACCTTTTTTAAAGGTCAACAATTATCTTTTAAGACATATACGGCAGAATTTATTTTCGTTAGGATCATTAAACTATTTTAAAAATGCGCTCAACAGGACGAACTTCATTCGGTGAATCTGTTTGATAAAGAGCTGGTAAATGTTTTACGCTCTTCCACAGCAATGTTCAACGGAAAAAACATATCATTGATCATTATATAAATTCCAATTTTTTATTCTATGATCTCTCATCTCAACAACCCTTCCTCGTCAGTCACTCCCTTTAAACCAAGTACAGCTTACGCCCATTTCTTTGCCTGGACTTTTAAATTTTACTTTATATTAGCTTCATCTTTTTGTTAGAAAAGTATACTTCTTGTTGTATACTTGCAAGAAAAAAATATTTTTTGTTTATCTATCTAACATAATTTGTTTTACCAACAGGTTTTGTAGTTATCTTCTCAAATTCAGCTTTTACCTCTCTGAAATGATAATATTGAAATAGTTTAGAAATAATGTACTGAATTGTCTGTTTTTTTTCTTTAATCAAGTAATGCAGAACATTATCATCAGAAAAGTTTTCCATTTTTAGAACATTTTTGAAAGCAATCTTTTAACTATCAATATATAGAAAACGGCAACAGTTTATTAAATCTTTGAAAAATTAGACATTTAAAAAAGTATAAAATTTAACAGCACATACCTAGCAACTTCGCAACTCTCTAAGGTGTCGATTATGATAACTCCATCTGTTCCCTCTACACAAATATATTTATATCGTTTTAGATTCAAAGTTATTGATTAATCGTCTCAAACTCGAAATATTTGATATCTTAAACCTTGACTATTTGATCTAAGGTCGAAATTTGTGTGTGGAGCATTGTTAATCTTGAACACATGATCTCGATATCCAATCCATTTAGGCACTTTAAATTTGAGATAAATATTTGATTCGTCAGCTAAAGTTATCCTTGTAGGGTATAACCATCACGAGATATCAAAGAAGAATTAACTTAGTCCGTAGGTCTTCATAAGATGGATGGAAGGATCAAGGATCCCAAGAATCACAAATCGAAAGTTCTGACTTTTAGAAGAATTTTACATTTACTTGAGGTTGCAGAGAAGAAATAAGAAGTAGAAGTTTAGAGTCATTGTGATTTAAGTTCTTTAGTTTAGAATACTTTTCTTAGTTTTTATATCCTTAAAGACAGTAGGTAACAACAATGTGATATTCATTTATGAAACTATTGTGTACTTTATCCATAGAATACATAGAGAGGAATTTACTAGAAAAAAGTGTAAAACGGCCATTTTGTTCAACTGTTTCCATACTGCATGTGTACTTCACATATTTATGCTATATAACCTGTTGGGCCCTGGAATATAATTTTATAGAAAATCTAAAATTATTGTTAAAAGAAAACCAAATTATGAAATAGGCTGGTTTCATAATTGACCAATGATCATTTCACATAGACTCTATACCTTCCACTTTACAAACGATTATTTTCCGTTATAACTATAAATCAAATGATGTTTTTATTCACCTAATTCATTATAAAGTTTATTTAACAGTTTAAAAAATTCGAAATTGAAATGGATAGTCTAGGGAACATACTGTATTAATGTAATCTACTGCAAATAATTTGTGAACATTTACATGATTTGTACACTTTGAACTCCCTTTCAGGCTAAAAGGGACTGAAAAAATTCATACCGAGAGATTCTTTTAATTCCTCTCTATATATTCTATTCTCTATGACTTTATCATTCTTACTCACTTCATCGTGAATTTCATAATAACTTGCTATATAGCACCAAACCATAAAGTAATTATCGTGCTATAATGATGTTAAATTAGCTGTACATTATAGGACGAGGGCTATAAAGTTTTGATTGATTCCTGGATTTTCTCAAAAAAATGTAGGATATTTCTACAATATTTTTTTCCATTGAAATGTAAATAAAATTGAAATCATCTTTGTATTTTGACTTTTGCTTTGTTCCAAAGCTTATTTTATCCATTGAAATAAGACAAGTACACACTGTTTCATAAAATTACCTGTAACACTATTATTTTAGCACGACAAGCTATGAAGTGTTTGTACACGATAAGGAGAAAATTTCTTTCCAAAAACTGTATATCACTGCGATCCAAAATAACAGTGTTATAAATAGTTATGCAGCATTTACACTGCACAGGGTGTAAAAAACGCTCTCTAAGATACAACGTCTACTTGTCATGGTTGGGCATTTAAAAACCTGCGTAGCAGTTACGATCGATGGATATCAATTAGAGGTCTGTCCTCAAAAGTGCTGGGTCACAACAGAGAATACTGTTAAAGGTTGCCAGCTGAAATGTGTGACATTTAGAGTTCTATTTCTTACCGATCATTATACAGTTTGCTAATCCATAACCAATAGCAACGTAGATGTTTCCAGAAATCTTTAAGATTTCTTTTTTATTAAACTCCTGAGAGTGTTTGGAAAGAAGAGAACTAGACTTTAAAACCTGAAAAAAAAAACATTAAAAAATTATTTTCTGATATTCCCTTGTATTTTTCCCCTATACTGCACCTTATTTCCTACAGAGGTACGCGATTATATCTATACAATGAAGACGAAGTTTTTTTTAAAAGTTTTGATTGTTAACAAGCTTTTTTGGAATTACAAGCTTACAAGTAATCAAAATAAAACTTTTTTTAATCCATAGCTTCTCTTGACCTCTATGTTTAGGTGTGTCCTTGCAGTTTAAAAGCTTAATATAAATCAAAATTAAAATCGAAATTCGTCTTCTTTGTATTGATAAATGCGACTGTAGTAAAATCGGTGCCAGTACTAAACTAAAAGGAACTTAACCCGTACTTTTAAGTGCTCTTCCATTTAAAGAGGGTCATGCCCGATTCACAACCCTCGTTTCTTTACAATACTAATTATAATCTCGAATGAGTTTATCTCTGATTAGATTAGCGTGACGGTAATATCCTCATCGCATAATAATACTTTGGATGCACATCGATCAATATCAGAACCTTCAACCTTGCCTGGATCTTCCTACTTTACTTAGTGTCAAAATCTTCTTAACCATCTAGTTGGTTTCGCTTCAAACTTCATGGTAATTAAAGCGTTTTTTGCCTTCAATGCACATATAGTGACGTCATCAAAGTTTAAAGTGAAAAAGCTTGCCGCAAATAAGAATTGTATTTCCGTTAAGTTTGGCTTCCTTGTATTAGGTTGGCTAATAAAATAAATAATATGTTTTTTGTCTCCCTGCCGTATCGGGTACAAACTGTATCAAATGCCACTTGCCTATCAAAATAGTTAGCTAAATATAAAAAGCAGTCAACTCTGTTTAGTTTCAGTCCGAATAAAATCATAAACCTCTTGACTATTTTCCCTCAAATTTGGATCGGGAACTCGGTAGAATGTTTTTAGCTGGGTTTAAAAGATTCAAGTTGAGTAGTTAGACTTCCATAAGGACAACTTTGAAGGCAAAGCTGGGTTCCCAAGCTAGCATATTTATAAGGCTACTGTTCATATAATATATGTATTCATCTCTTTTATTATCCTATAGCTTCTTGAACTGTTTATCCGCAAAGTCCGTATGGAAACCTTGGGAACGTACTACCTTAGCTTAACGCATTTTCATTTTTCAGTTGTGTGTCTGATCATAACTCATTAAACCCTTGATCAATTTGCCTTAGATTTTGATTTGGGAACTCGCTAGAACCATAGAAAAGTTTTTATTTTTTATCTTGGTTTGATAACTGGTTAAAATATTCATGCACAGCTGATTTCCCAAGCTAACATTAACATCAATTTATAGGTTTTGAAAACAAATCTATCTTGAAATAAAAAGCCCAGTCATACTTTTCATAGATTTCTGTTTGTAATATATATGGTCCCTCAATAGAATATTTTTTACCTTTTTCGAAAACTTTGTTTTCACATCCTTGTTTTTTCTCGCAACGTTTTTTCCTCTACTCTGTACCGCTAGTGTGAGCAGTGTACTGCAAACCACCAGAAATATTGCGATAAAAATGTCCATTTTTTAAAGATTATTCTTATAATAATAATCTATTTACTTACAATTCTTATTCGCTTATAATGGGCCAACCAATCAAAACAACCAACTCTGGTTAGGCAGGTCCAAGCTACATAGTAAATTGTGATTTCTTATTTGTATTATCTCGTGCTTTGTAGTTCAATAAAAATATGAATGAAATCACCAAATTATAATATTAAATCAATAAATAAAAACTGGGATGAATTTAGATAAAAGATATGAACAAAATACAGAAAATTAATGATAAATGAATCATAAAACTACGATGGATTTAGAATAAGAAATATATGTATTTGTCAGTAAATGTACAGTTTGTATCTATTTTACATAAAACTGATCTCCTATCAGCTAGTTTCTTATCTCCCAGAGATAGAAGCAAGATGATAAATAAAGTTTATTTAAAAATAGCATTGATTATTCCATTATCACAGCTCTTCTAGAACTACAGTGATAAACAGAAAACTTTAAATTAGGAAGACGACTTTTAGAATCAATTTATAACTTTAAAAGTATAATGAGCATGAGACACAGCAATTGTGCAGTGTAAACAGACCGTTTTGACTTCATAAGTGATTTTAGTGTCTAGTAAACTATTTACTTTGTAACAACATCAAATACACTTAAGAATTGCTATAATGTCGTCTTCCTATTCCATTGTTTTCTGGTTATCACTGTGTAACTATTGATGATTATCTATTTGCCTTTCCACAATATAATACATAAATTAATACTTTATTTCAGTAGAGTCTATATGAAATCTATGCAGAATGAATGGGTTTGGTTTGGTTTTGAATCCAGGTTGAGAAATATGGTTTCTTCTCCAGGATGGATAACCAGCAGAGGATCCTGGATGTTGTTTCCTTATTTAAAAATAAACTGATTACTTGCCTCGAACTCTAATTTTCAAATGCTTTTCTATTTGCAACTCGATGATGTTTAAAAAATATGAAGAGTAGAAAAATAGGACTGAAACGTACGGTGGATCATTTTTTTGTTTATTGTATTCCAAAACATGTTTTTTTTCTTATGTGTATATTTTTTGTCTGTTACCTTTGGAAAAATAAATATTTCAGGAGTAGTTTCTAATTCTTAGAAATTAAAACTTTATTTGGTTTTATTATAGAATCCCGTAAAAGTATTTCAAAATTTTTTTTTTGCATTTTGCTGAACCTTGCCTAAATCTTCTGTCAGAAAAAAACTGATCAAAATGGATGCTGAAGTCATTAGGGCAGGGCATGTTCGAACATTTTTTCAATCCGTAAGTCAATGGTTCGAATAAGTAACGAAACGGTCAGGCTTATCATGTAGCCGTTCATTTTTAACTATAGAACTGAATTTTCAGTTAAGTAAACCGGTTTTTTTCGTCCGTAATTAAGATATCGGTCTCGACGTTTTAGCGACGTTCATAATGAATACACCAAACATTCGTTGACTATTTTTACAGTAAAAAGGTTGGTGATTTCGTAAGGTACAGTTTCAATTCTCGACTATAATATATGGTTTTGGGTTTAATTCTAACAAAAAACAAAAGTCGACTCTCAAAACAAAGGAATTGAGTTTTTGCCACAAATGCCAATTTTATAATACCTAATTCTCAACAACCAGATGATGCATACCTTTCATATTTCAAACTTACATTGTTTGATCCACCAGAATTCATAGTTTGAAATATCTACGGTCTACGACATTTGGTTTTAAAGAAATTGGGATTTAAAAATCCGAGTTTGTGGCAAAGACTCAATTCCTTTGGTCATGTCTTTCATGCGACTCAAACCATAAAGATTATTGAATTTTGCTGGGCGTTTCTGTCAATTTGTTGTTAATTTTTTTTCATAAACGTTTTTTTCGTTCATTAACGGACATTTTCGTAAGTTAACGGATGTTGCCCAACACTAGTTATTCCTCCTTCCTGTGAGAATTATCTATTAATTGAAGAACCTGATTGTATACAGGTTCTGTTGGCTGGTTACCAAGGGTATCAAGGGGGGTCGATACCGTAGTCTTTCATAATAATCATCAGGTGTATTCCTAACATATAGTATAGATAAATATATCAACATATGAATAAAAAATTAAATTAGCAATTTAAAAAAAGATTAATACAACTAAATTCCAGATGAAGAAATAAATAGATTCATAAATTGAATAGATATGCAATAGATGATTATCATGGACGTTGTGTCCCATAAACATGACAGCTGAGACAGTTTGTCTTTATCTTTTATAACGGGACAAGAGTTACACGGAACAGGAGGTAAACTACATAAAGCTGTTAAGTCGTTTTTGATACATAGGATAGCTGTCAAGATCAAAAATAATATTAAGGTCGTTTCTGAACTTTCATTTTTAGTGGGATACTCTGTAATGAATAGATAAATAAATTATCCAAAAATGTAATGAAAAAAAGGGAAAGATAAAACTTAACTGTAGATTTCTTAATAAGTAAAGATTTTTACTTTAACTAGAAATTCAAGGCGCTTCGCGCCCTTCTTTCTAGCCTTAGAGGGCGCTTCGCGCCCATCTTCTAAATTAATTGTAAACATGTTCTCTTTGTGTACATCGTAAAACTAAACAAAAATAATTCGCGGATTTTTACAAAAAATTTTGCGGATTTTCAAAATTTTAAAAAATTTAATGACGATCGAATTTTGATAGAGACAAATATTTGAAATTTTGATGATTCATAAACCTTCCCTGGGCTCCCTAGATGTCCCACAAAAAATTTGGGCCCGATCGGTTCAGCCGTTTTGACGTTTATTGGATACAAACAAACAAACAGACAAACAAACAGACAGACAAACAAGCCAAATTTATATATAGATTAATTTTTATAAGCATAGGTATAGTCGGATAGGCTTTTCAGCTTCTGTCGGCTTTTACAAAACTGCATAGTATCGTTTCTGCTTCTAGGCAAGCAAACTGAGCTTAAGATAAGACAAATTTCAACAAAACGCCCCAATTTAGATTTTTCTTATTTTGTATGTTTTCTTTCCCGTCTCCTGCCTTTTCCCCTATAAAATAAAGATAAAAACAGAATCCGAAATAATGAAATTAGGAAACTAAAGTGAGGAATGAATAATGAGTTAAATACAATATGACTGTTTATAAAAAAATGAATTTTTGCCACAAACTTAGATTTTCTAATCCCTGTATTTTTGCAACCAAATGTACCAGACCTTAGAAATGTCAAACTTTAAATTCTGTTAGATCAAATAACCAAAGTTTGAAATAGCAAAGGTTTACACCATCAGGTTGCAAAAACATAAGAATTAGAAAATTTAGGTTTGTTGCAAAGACTTAATTAATTCCTTTGCAAAACAACTTTTATCAACTTTAAAACTTCACTCATTCATTTTTATAACCTTATAGACATGTGCATTCGAAAACTAAAAAGCACTTGATTTTAGCTTTAGTATTTAATAAGTTATTGGGAAAGTTCTCAACGATTATCACATGCGAGCTTGCAACCTTTGGGTCACTGTGCGCACACTGTTTTCATTTATACATTGTTTGATGGTGGACAGAAAAGAATAATATTGGAACAAATTATAGTCTGCATTTAATACATGTTTGAACTACTAGTTAATATTGTGATTTTTAAAATATATGAAAATAAAAAATTCCCAAAAATCGTTTTCTTCAAAAATACGGAAAGAAGCTTCTGACCATTTGTCAGATGTTCATAAAGTGAATTATAAATACCTTGTTGGTAAATTTAGTTTGTTACACATGGGTTGTTCCGGACAGAATGGTTTAGGAAGCCCAGATGGACAAACTAGAATTATAGTTTAAGGAGTTCTAAAAGGAAAATTCCCAAATGATAAATATTTCCCAAGTAAATGACCTTTCCGTGATCTGACTAAGATTGTAACACTCTCCGCTAAAACCCACTTTTCTTTCATAATTTACGGAGATCACTGCAGTACGCACAGAAAGTTTAGCTTTGGGTGATAATGCCATAGAATGACATTTTTAGGAAGGTTCACTTGGAGAAGTTCACATTTGGGAAAATGCCATTTGGAAATTAGTCTTATGAGATTTGGGCAGTTTTCCCAGGCGAAAATGGCTTGAGAAAAAACATAAAAACTACTATAAACTTTAGAATTAGTAAACATGTTTTAAATAAAAATGTCACGCCTTTTGTTTTGAATTTTTATATGAACTTGAAATTTAACGCCAATTAAACACAAAACGAAAGATATAACATTTATACAATCGCGAGACTAGAAGCACTTGATAACGTCTTGAATATAAAGAAACTGATCACTTGCCACACAATCTAATTTCAATATATTTCTAGCCTAAATCGTGGATCTTTAATGTTTATATTTCTACCCTAAATCGTGGATCTTTAATGTTTCAAACATAGAGCATAGAATATATAAAGAGGAATTTACTAGAAAAAAAGTGTAAAACGGCCATTTTGTTGTACTGTTTCCATACTGCAGAGCCCAAAACTTAAGACAGGGTATCGTTAAGAAAACCAGTTTTAAAACCCGGGTTTCACGAATGGGGTTACACAGTTTTGTGAATATCAATATTTTTGTTATGAAATATAATTTTTTTCAGTTTGATTATATTTTCCATTTTTTTCGAATTTCTTAAATCAAAATCTACATGAATGTTAAGACCCCAAAAAGGAAACTCCCGAGTTTTGTTTAACGATACTCTTTTAAATTTCGGGCTCTGGTGTACTTCACATACTTATGCTATATAACCTGTTGGGCCCTGGAATATAATTTTATAGAAAATCTAAAATTATTGTTAAAAGAAAACCAAATTATGAAATAGGCTGGTTTCATAATTGACCAATGATCATTTCACATAGACTCTATACCTTCCACTTTACAAACGATTATTTTCCGTTATAACTATAAATCAAATGATGTTTTTATTCACCTAATTCATTATAGTCTAGGGAACATACTGTATTAATGTACTCTACTGCATATAATTTGTGAACATTTACATGATTTGTACACTTTGAACTCCCTTTCAGGCTGAAAGGGACTGACGAAATTCATACCGAGAGATTCTTTTAATT